AAAAAAGCCATCACAAAAATAGGGCTGGTGGAGTAGCTCAAGGTGTAGGCCCTGAGTTCAAACCCCAATACCGCAAAAAAAAAAAAAAAAAATTCTCTTGGAGGTGCTGGAATGTGAGAATCAGAGTACAGAAGAGACATGAAATGCTCATTTCAGAAGGTGAAAATGGTCATTTGTGATTCTTCCTAAACTTCCTTACTGAGAGGCCAATGGGCCAATGACACAGCTAGTAATAAAGTGCTCTCCTAGCACGTACAAGGCCCTGGGTTCCATCCCTGGGACTACAAAATATAAATAAAATTGAGATAAACAAAAGTTAAAATCCTTATTCCTGGAAAACAAGCAAAAAGCAGCAAGCGGGATCTAAAAGTTATATGACATTGCAAAGTCATTAAGAGCTTTTGGTACTTGGTTTCATTTCCGATGAAGAAATAAGTGAATGATTGTATCTCTTCTGTAGACTGGACCCTTGATGAGGTCCCTAAGGGGCTAGGCAAAGAAACATGAATTACAGCTGAAATGCCAGATAGCCAGAAATACTGTGTTAGCAACAAGCAGCTTTGGGAGCAGGTTCTCAAGGGGAGAAAATGTCCCAAAAAGTGACACAATGGGAACAGTTGACTTGAAGTGGTGAGGGCCTCTCGTGTTCACGTAGAGGCTTTGTCAAGATACAGCTATGACATAATTTTTAACGGTCAGATTTCAGTGAGTTGCACATCAAGAATAAAAATGATGCTTGACAATGCATCCTGAAGGTGTACTTTCACAGTGAAACACCATTAATGATACATATGTTTTTAATGCTCTGAACTCTCTCTTTTCTCATTTTACTTCATTCCTTTTGCTCAGTAGAATTGATGTTATCAACCAAAAGTTTAAATGTAAGTGAGTCTTAATGGGCTGAAAGGGTCTCTGAATGAATTTTAAAAAGTACTTAATCCTGTTATTCTTTGTTGTTTTTATTTGTAATGAGGATTTTTTTTTTCCCTTTACCAGCAAGGATTCAATTTCACTCAGTCTCAGTGTTTATATAAATGAGATTGGTGCCTTTGAAATCAGCCCAGTTCTTCTGTTAAGAACATCTGTGAAAGGAGCAAGTTTATTAGAACAGGAAACCTGTGAAATGATTGTATTGTTGTTTTCTTCAATTTAGTTAAAATTGCATTGCTAATGGTTCCTAAATGGTAAATCACTATGCCCTCACCAGCTAGCCAGCTTCTTAATGTTCCAGCGTTCAATAATACTTAGTGAGCATTGCAAACAAAAGATAAATTAAACTTACATTTGGCACAAATGATTCCACTGGGATTTGCTTGTTTTGTTGTTCAGTTGTTTGGTTCTGCAGTGCCTGCGTTCAGCATTTAATCAAACTTTGGGAAACCTTTAGTGAAAATGTGGCTTAATCACATTTCAGACCAGAATTAGTATTTACATAAAACATCTTACATTTAAAAAAAAAAAAACTGTGCCAATGTTAAGATCCTAAAGAAATCTAAAATTAATGAAAAAATTGACTGTTTTAATTAGTTTTCATTTGTTGCTCTCTTATGTTTGTTACTACAGAATAACAGCCTCAGTGAATATACAGTTGTATATATCAATTAGTTCAAAAGAAAGCAACAACAAAGAAATTCTGTAATCCATTCATCTCTTTCTTTAAAACTAGTAGCAGTGACAACATGTAACATAAATATATAAATGCTCTCACTTTTATCATGTGTTGGTGGGAATGTAAACTAGTACAACCAATCTGGAAAAAAATTTGGAGGCTACTTAAAAAGCTAGACATTGATCTACCATTTGATCCAGCAATACCACTCTTGGGGATATACCCAAAAGACTGTTACTCCAGAGGCACCTGCACATCCATGTTTATTGCGGCACTATTCACAATAGCCAAGTTATGGAAACAGCCAAGATGCCCCGCCACCAACGAATCGATTAAGAAAATGTGGTATCTATACACAATGGAATTTTATGCAGCCATGAAGGAGAACGAAATGTTATCATTCGCTGGTAAATAGATGGAATTGGAGAACATCATTCTGAGTGAGGTTAGCCTGGCCCAAAGAGAACAAAAATCGTATGTTCTCCCTCATATGTGGACATTAGATCAAGGGCAAACACAACAGTGGGATTGGACTATGAGCACATGATAAAAGCGAGAGCACACAAGGAAGGGGTGAGGATAGGTAAGACACCTAAAAAATTAGCTAGCATTTGTTGCCCTTAACTCAGAGAAACTAAAGCAGATACCTTAAAAGCAACTGAGGCCAATAGGAAAAGGGGAGCAGGAACTAGAGAAAAGGTTAGATCAAAAAGAATTAACCTAGAAGGTAACACCCACGCACAGGAAATTAATGTGAGTCAACTCCCTGTATAGCTATCCTTATCTCAACCAGCAAAAACCCTTGTTCCTTCCTATTATTGCTTATACTCTCTCTACAACAAAATTAGAGATAAGGGCAAAATAGTTTCTGCTGGGTATTAAGGGGGTTGGGGGGAGAGGGAGGGGGCGGAGTGGGTGGTAAGGGAGGGGGTGGGGGCAGGGGGGAGAAATGACCCAAGCCTTGTATGCACATATGAATAATAAAAGAAAAAAAAAAAAAAAGAAAGCCTCTGCAGTCTAGAAAAGACTAAAGTTCTAATGGCTTACCACTTCTCGTTCCCTTACTTTGTCAAATCTTATTTCCATTAAAAAAAAATCAATTGGATTCAACAAGAACTTCAGAAGACAAAAAAAAAAAACCTTTCATTGGTCTCTGATACTGTACTAAGACTTAGAGAGGCTGTTACCAGGGCTGGGTACAAAGCTCATGCCTGTAAATCCCGGCTAGTTAGAAGGCAGAGATATGGAGGATAGTAGTTTGAGGCCAGCCAAGGGAGGAAAAAGTTGGCAAGACTTCATCTCAAACAATAAACTTGGCATGATGGTATGTCCCTGTAATTCCAACTATGTTAAAGGCCATAGGTAAGGGAAACACAGTTCAAGGTGTGATCTGGCAAAAACATGAGATCACACCTCAAAAAGGCTGGGTTTGTGGCTCAAGTGGTCAAGTGCATACCTAGCAAGCAGAAGACCCTGTGTTCAAACCCCACCATTGCTGAGAGAGAGAGAGACTGAAGCTGTGACTGTGCCCATATTGCTCAAGATGGGCTTCCTGGCACTTGGTGGTTGTCTCTTTTTAAGGCCCATACTTTTAATCCATTAGTCCTACTGAAAAATCATTATTTCTTGATTAAAGCAAACCTTCCTATACCCCTCAGTTGGCAATATCTCTGTAAATCTCAATTACCTCTACATATTTGAAGAGAGGAATTTTCATGAATTTACAAATACTACACTATTTAGACTATTACCACTGACTGGCCTTCTCTCAAGTTTGGGAGGGCTAATGTACTTAAAACAAACATTTCTACAAATGGAGCAATGTCTGCAATGGTTTCTTTTGCTGCTCACAGATGTTGATGAGTGCACATCAAATCCCTGCACTAATGGAGATTGTGTTAACACACCTGGATCCTATTATTGTAAATGTCATACTGGATTCCAGAGGACTCCCACCAAGCAAGCATGCATTGGTAAGGCACTCACCCTCACATGCAAAAATGTTCCATGAAATATTACGACTAAGACTGTTGAGGTTAAAAGTAAATTTAAAATAAGACACGGAATGACTATTGCATTGCTACAGCCTTATTTTATAATGTCCTCAGAGCGCTCCCTTTAAATACAAACTATTTGCTCATAACACAGCAATGTGGTATCTGGTTTCAAAAAAACTTCAGTTTATCTTCCTTCCCTACATCACAACTTCCTTTCTCTGGTTAATAGAGTTTAAGATTTAGAGTGATTTTTCAACTACTGTTTTCTTTGAACCCTACATGTAGTCTGACACCAAATCATGCCTTGTCTTGATTCAGTCTCATTGCTATACCCACTACCGCCGTCCAAACTCTACCTCACTGACTGCTGGTTCATTTTGGAATTCTTTTACCAGATTACTTTGCTTGTCTTCTTTTTCATTTCCTATTCATCCATGGGTAGTTGCTTGAATCTGCTTTCTCCAGCAGTTTTCATCATATTACTCTTAATCCAGAAATTCTGTAGTTGCTTTTCACTTACCCAACATCTTGTTCTGACTTTTAAGTTCTTTATCCACTATGGCAAAAACAGCTGCACCAGTAATTCCAGCTGCCCTACCCACCCTCTTAGGCTCTCTGCACACCCCATTTCCTTTTCTTTCTTTCCCTCTTTAGCCACTATATGGCCTGTAAAATTGCTTACACCTACCTATCCAAGAAGCAAAGCTGATGAGAGACGAAAATTTTGCTGAAGAAGCAGCCTAGGCTTAGACATTACACATAAAAATAAACTGGGTATTTTCAAACTGCATTTATATCTTACTGTTTTAATCTAAGTATTTAATAAAAGAATAATATTTGACTATCCTTAATCTTCCCAGACATTGATGAGTGCATCCAGAATGGAATCCTTTGTAAAAACGGTCGATGCGTGAACACAGATGGAAGTTTCCAGTGCATTTGCAATGCTGGCTTTGAATTAACTACAGATGGAAAAAACTGTGTTGGTATGGAAATCTTTTGCTCCTTTGCAAAAGATTTTTAAAGGATATACATTTTTATTTAAAACCATATATACTGTTTCCATGAAAACTTCCACCCTTCATATGTGACAATTCTTCAGGGAAATTAGATAGGTAAAATATAAATGCATTTAACATAAAACTATTAAAGCAAGGGGATGGATGTTTTTTGGGGGGAGGGGATGTTATAATGGTGAAAATAACTTCCCGCTTCTGAAAATGTCCTGGTGGTATGTGTTTAATTGTAAGTAAGTTATTCTTCATCAGTTCAAGTCATTTTAAGGTGTCAGAGTTACAACACTGAGAGAGAGAGATTTTCCCCTCCTCCCCAATTTGGGAGAATATAAAAATTTTGGCGTATGTAGCAGTTGAGTCTCCAAATCTGTGGTCCTGATGATGTCAGGAAATACTGGAATGTTCTACTCACACAGTAGCAGAGTATATTTCATTCACTAATGAGAGCCCAGGCCATTACACCTGCAGTTTACATTGTTTTATACCCTCTTACATAAGAAACATCCACTGAAATCCTATTACCTTTTTGGGTAAAATAAACACTACTCACATTTTATGTGGTTTCAGCAGCAGCTGAGCAAAATACTTACTCATTTCTTTTTCTTTGTGTTGCCTTACATTGGAGGTTCTTCCAATTCTCCACACTATTTGAGCTCATGCAGTTGACATTCTTACTTAAGTAAATAAAATCCATGAGCTCATGGCTCAAGTATGTAGTGGAGTTTGAGTGGAGATTGCGGAAGGAGAGGAAATTGATTCCCTCCAGGTCAGTGGTCCATGTCACTCTCTGTCTTCTGCAGACCATGATGAATGTACAACCACCAACATGTGCTTGAATGGGATGTGCATCAATGAAGATGGAAGCTTCAAGTGCATTTGTAAACCAGGATTCGTCTTGGCTCCAAATGGGCGTTACTGCACTGGTAAGGATGGCTTAGAGATAAGAAAGAGACATGATTAAAACCATCCTTTTTAGATGAGTGAATCATGCAAGAATTACTTTGGTTGCTCATGTGGATTTCATATTATTCACATCTCTTGCTAATTCAGTAAGGCAGGTATGTAAAGCTTCCTAGAAAAACACACACTGGAATCAGGAACAGTAAGTAATATCTTTACAAAAGGAATAATGGCATAGGAAAAATTAAGGAAATGACAGATTTGTTGTGGAAGGTCTGGAGGAGATGATGTCGAAATAATTTCTGAATAAAAAAGAGTAAGAAAAAAATCTTGCAAAGTTGTCATTTTTATGTGTTCCCAGAAGTAGGTTTTCTTTCATTCTTTCATTATTGATATACATTACATCTTTTCCATAAAGCTAACCTAAGTTTCATTTATAGGCATATCATTGTCTAAAAACCTTACATTGATTTACATTGAAGTCATAATTATAATACTTTTATTAATTATTTTGTGTAGGAAACCATTTTGGAGACCAAGTTCCAGTGATAACTTTAATAAGCAAAATATAGGCCTCTTGGAAATTATTTATTTATAAATAAACTGTAATATGTTTATACAGCCCTATTTGCTTTAGCTATTTTCAGAATAAGGTCTTGCTTTTATGCCCAGGCCCGTGTAAATTGCGAACCTCTTATTTATGCTTCTTTTGTGGCTGGGATTCTCTAATGCCACCATGCACAGCTTTTGATTGGTTGAGATGGGGCCTTGTGAACTTTCTGCTTGGATTGGCCCTAAACTGTGATCCTCCTGATCTCTGTCTCCAGAAAAACTTGTATTACAGTTATCTCAGCATTTCTTAAGAAACCTAAGTATACATATAAAGATGATTTCGAGCTCACCAGTTTCTGCCTTCAAGAAATTATGTGGTAACTCGTAAGTTGTGAAGTGTTCATGACTTAGCAGCTCTGTGTTTGAAGTTTGTTTCATCTTTTAAGAAAGCTCTTTAGTGTTGGGCTACACTTGATAAACTCAATGGATGGAAAATTAGAAGAGATACTTCAAATTATTTTATTACTATACAGTGCTCAAATTAACATCAAAACAGCATCTACCTGTAGTTAGTGAAAGATTTTGTGAAAAAATTATAAAAGTTTACCATAATTTTCAAAGAATGTATTTTGCTTAACTAATTGGAATTACATTTTATTCAATATTAAACACAGTTGTCAAATAATAAGATGTAGTCAGAGGCTCCTTTTTGTTCTAAATGCATGAAGCCACTTTTACTCGGTCTTTCTGTAAAGGCGTTTGAAAAGGTTGAAATTTCACGTCAGATCTGTTATCATCTACAAGGTAGCAAGTTAGAAGGCTGATAGTTACCGAGCAATGGCAACAGGCACACTCGTGTTACTCAGTAACAGCCTGACTTATGTCACCCTCTGGGCAGACATTGATGAGTGCCAGACCCCGGGAATCTGCATGAACGGGCACTGCGTCAACAACGAAGGATCCTTCCGCTGTGACTGTCCCCCGGGCCTCGCTGTGGCTGTGGATGGACGCGTGTGTGTTGGTAAGTGCGGCGCTCTGCAGTGGCCCACTATCCAAAGACATGAGGATTGGAGACTTGGCCAAGTGAGAGACGTCAGTCACAAAAGACCAGGAATGTATGCTACCCCTCATAGGAAAGGCAAAGAAGGGGCAGATGTGTGTACTAGTGACTGCTGAGGGCAGAGGGAATGGGAGTGAGGGGAGAGCAAGGTGAAGGCTAAGGGATGTCTCTGAGATAATGAAAATGTTCTAAACCAATTCTGTCTGAATATTCTAAAAACTATTAAAATGTAGTTTCTAAATAGGTGAATTTTAAAATGTGTAAATAATATCTTTTTGGGTTTTTTTTACTCATATGTGCATGCAATGTTTGGGTCATTTCTCCCCCTTCCCCCACCTCCTCGCTCTGCCCCCTACCCCCTCGCTACCCGGCAGGAACTATTTTGCCCTTACCTCTAACTTTGTTGTAGAGAGAGTATAAGCAATAATAGGAAGGAACAAGGGGTTTTGCTGGTTGATATAAGGATAGCTATACAGGGCATTGACTCACATTGATTTCCTGTGCGTGGGTGTTACCTTCTAGGTTAATTCTTCTGATCTAACCTTTTCTCTAGTTCCTGCTCCCCTTTTCCTATTGGCCTCAGTTGCTTTAAAGTATCTGCTTTAGTTTCTCTGATTTGAGGGTAACAAATGCTAGCTAGTTTTTTGGGTGTCTTACCTATCTTCATATCTCCCTTGTGTGCACTGGCTTTATCATGTGATCAAAGTCCAATCCCATTGTTGTGTTTGCCCTTGATCTAATGTCCACATATGAGGGAGAACATACGATTTTTGGTCTTTTGGGCCAGGCTAACCTCACTCAGAATGATGTTCTCCAATTCCATGCATTTACCAGCGAATGATAACATTTCATTCTTCTTCATGGCTGCATAAAATTCCATTGTGTATAGATACCACATTTTCTTGATCCATTCATCAGTAGTGGGGCATCTTGGCTGTTTCCATAACTTGGCTATTGTGAATAGTGCTACAGTAAACATGGGTGTGCAGGTGCCTCTGGAGTCACCTGTGTCACAGTCTTTTGGGTATATCCCCAAGAGTGGTATTGCTGGATCATATGGTAGATCAATGTTTAGCTTTTTGTAAATAATATCTTAATAAAACTATTTTTATTTTTAAAAAAGAAAGGACAGAGACCCCCTACACAGCCTCCTTCAAAAGGCTGTCATGAGATGCAATTTAAAATGTCAGAAAGCTGGGAGCATGCTTCAACTTCAGTGGTGGGGCACCTGCCTGGCAAGCTCAAGGCCCTGAGTTCAACTCCCAGTACCACAAAAAGTAAATAAATAAAATTAAATATTTAAATAAAATGCTGGATAAAAAATGGCTTTTATGCCAGCATCCTCAATAATATTTAAAAACTGAATTCTAAGTACAATGGATTTTTATTTTATTACTAACAAGTGAGACATGAAAGGAATTATAGTTATATTTAAGTAAATTCTTAATTTTACCCAAATAAAAGTTGAAATGTAAATAACCTATACCATAGAACATGGACTCATAGCAAAAGCTAAGAAAATGTTTTTAGTTTTTCCTCACCACCACAATTCAACTGACTATAGAAGCAAGGGAAGAGAATGAGGGAGAATATGTATTTTATTCTGACCTATTCAGAGTTCATCCTGGAAACATTTGTCAAAAGGATTCCATGAAAATGAATCAGAATTATCAAGCATCAGAAAACATGAAAGGCCAGAAAAACAGAAATATTGTTGGCAGTTCAAAACCCGAAAAATATGTTCTAATGATAACGAGAGCAGAATACATTGTGAAAAATACATTAATGGTGTTTTCTGTCCACAGTGCGTTCATGAGCAATCAAGGATGAATTAGCAGTTGTGCACCCTCTATTTTTCAGCTTGTGCAGTAAAACAGAAATTTTGCTTGAAAGTATACTTGAGAGAAATGAAATTCTTAGAAAAGGTTATTAATACTTTACTTGCACCTCTGTGAAACAAAACATTTGGATCCACAAGGGGGAGAAAGAAAGAAGAATCTGCAGATGGAAATAATCTGTTCACTCAAATTCATCCACTTTATCCAGTCTGGATTTATTCCAGCCTACAGGTTGTCAGCACTTTGTTCAGGAATATTTCAAATACAACAGCTAGAAGAATGTAGCTCTTTCCTGCTTAGAGAGCTAAAATATTTTCATTTGCCTCAATATACATAGTTGCTTTTTGCCTTTACCTAAATGATCCTCTTGAAATCTACAGTGAGAACAAACCTAGCTTGGAAAGGGGAAATTATTTTTCTTACAAGCAACCGACATGTGAGTGACTGTTATGTATTCACTGTTCAGACATAAAACTTCATTCCCTTGTCATACATGGAAAACAAGACAAATTGTTGGAAAGCCCTTCCTACTTTTTCATCATTGCAGTGACTTAAACTTTTTAAAATAAAAACTGTTTGTTTTGGATGTGAAATTATATATTGCTGTTCCCATAACATGCTAGAAGTTTTCTTCATTCTTCTGTCTTTGCTGTCACTTTTGAGACCCATTTGTTATGTTAGAAATGAACCATTGCTATGATTTATTAGATTTAACACTTTAATTTTAGATTTCCTCTTTATTCATTTTCTTTTGTTTCCCTAGATTTTGGGATTTCAGAAAATTAAGCTATGATTTCTTTTGGTGGTTCTGGGGGCACTGAACTCAGGGTCTAGCACCTGCTAGGTAGGTTCTTTACAATTTGAGCCATGCCTCCAACCCTTTTTGTGTTGCTTATTTTTGAGATTGAGTCTCGTTTTATGTCCAGGCCAATCTGGACTGCAATTCTACTTGTGTTTCCCCGCCTAACTGTGATAACAGGCATGTACCATTATGCCCATCATTGGTTGGGATGGGCTTTTGCAAATTTTTGACCGGTCTGGCTTTGACCTGTGACCCTCCTGGTCTCCATCTCTCAAGTAACTAGAAATACAGCATTCTGCCACATGCCTGCCCTAAGCTATGGTTTTAACCGGTATATTAAACAAGTGAAGTCAGCTGTAGTTTTGCATCTTTCCCATCCTTTTGGATTGAGTAAATTTTTAAATTTACTCAGTGTGCAGTTGATCTATTAAGCAAGGCAGAAAACTCAGGCCATTGTAAAACTTCAACAAATATTTTTCAATAATAAGAAAATTCATGAAAGCAATCTGAATTTAGAAATTAGAATATCCATTATCATGTCGTAATTAATAATCAGAACTGGGTTTTCAGTTACAATTTTCCTTTCAAGCTCAGATCTTTAGTGAGTGAGAATGTTCAGAGGAGAGATTACAAGGTGGAGGCAGGGGAGATCTTATATTGGTGACACTCCTACGATGGTGTCTAGAGTTCCAGTCTTCATAGATATTTAAAGCCAACTGCTTCTTTGGGGCACTCTTCACCCAGCTTCTGATGCTTTAACAGTCGGTTAGCACACACTAAACTCATGGTATCTCATCACTTTCCTTCTTCATGTGACCCTTTCCAATCCATGGAACCACCATCTTCTTCCTGACTACTGTGACCAGAAGCCAGTCTCACTCCTCTACCTGTCCTTTGTTCTTGTTTTTTATTTTATCATTTTTACATTTATTTACATGTGTATACATTGTTTGTGCCTCGCCTCGCTTCCAGGCAGAACCTGTTCCACTCTCTTCTCCAGCTTTGTTTAAGAGAAAACTTAAGAGATAATAAGAAAGACATAGCGTTTTGCTAGTTTGAGATAAAGATAGCTATACGGAGAAATTCCTAGCATTGCTTCCTTGCATTTGTGTATTGCAGCCCACATTAGTTCATCTCTGCCAGATCTCTTCTTTACTTCTTGGTCCCCTTCTCATAGTGGCCTCTGCTAATTTAAGGTTACTTTATTCATTCCTCAACAGGGAGCACATCAACTACTTTCAAGTTTTAGTTTTCCTTCCCTTTCCCTATTTTTCCCGTGCTCATTTTCCCCTTAATGTGTGACCCTTGTCCAATAATATTACTGCATTATGTGGTCTTGGGCAAAATACATTACCTCTCTGTGCCTTGTTTCTTCATTAACATGCATTAAACATGTTCGTATTGAATACTTTATAGAAAAAAGTATTGAACAGTATCTGGCACATAGTAAAAGCAAAATAAGGAAACAACTACTATTATTATTTTATTATGGCATATCTAATGTATAGTCTTAAGAGTTGCTGCTTGATACCTTAAAAGCAACTGAGGCCAATAGGAAAAGGGGACCAGGAACTAGAGAAAAGGTTAGATCCAAAAGAATTAACATAGAAGGTAACACACATGCACAGGAAATTAATGTGAGTCAACTCCCTGTATAGCTATCGTTATCTCAACCAGCAAGAACCCTTGTTCCTTCCTATTATTGGCTTATACTCTCTCTACAACAAAATCAGAAATAAGGGCAAAATAGTTTCTGCTGGGTATTGAGGGAATGGGGGGAAGAGGGAGGGGGCAGAGTGGGTGGTAAGGGAGGGGGTGGGGGCAGGGGGAAAATGACCCAAGCCTTGTATGCACATATGAATAATAAAAGAAAAAAAAAATTAAAAAAAAAGAGTTGCTGCTTTAAGTAATAAAACAACACCAATACTAAAGAAAGAAGAGTAAAATAAAATTAGCTTTTTGTATCCATACATATTTTACCAGTGGTGTGTAAAATTTGCCTCAAAAATACCTCATTTTGAGAAAGAAAAGGAATGCTTAAATTTGACAATACATGCAAAAGATAGAGCTTAACACCTTGTTATAATTCCCTGCCAAAGCACTTCTGTTCTTGTTAAAGACAGAGGAAGGAAGGAAGGAAGGTAGCCACCGTTTTTTGAGTATTTTCTGTGTGTCCTAGAAACTGTGTTTAATGCTTAACAAATGTACTCTCATTTATTCTATAATTTCTGTTTAGTGGGTCATGAAAGGGTCAAATAATTTATGTAAGATAGTGCTATGTAGATCTGAACCCACACATGAATTATGCTACTTTCTTTTTTGTGGAACTTCTGGCATTGGATACTCTGGACATCTTAGCTAACCTGTAACACAAAGTATGGATTTGTCTTATTTTTCCAGCGGGTTCTATAAGCTTCTTATTTTCTTGCTTCTAAAAATTGTGCATTACATATGTTCTTACATGAAAACAAATAATGTTCACCATTCTCTGATGCCTTCCAAGATAACTGGTAATGTTCAAAGAACTCACAAAAATCATAATGGAAATCATGAACTCTGTTTTATTTGTGTAGGTTCTTGTTTGCATTGAGTAACTCACAGCAAACTCAACCAAACTCAGCCATAGCAGAAACAGAAAGTGTCTAAGAGTAGAAAGTGTCTTCAGGGTTCAGGGTGGTAAATGTCATGATCCTCTTCCATTTGAACATACAAATATCTCATTGCTTAACACAACCATAAATCTTATTCCTTTAATGAGAAACTCTCCAAGAACATAAAAAGTCATTGGATGGTTCATTTTACATAATAAATAGACATAGTTATTTCCAACAAATTATGAATTACTGTAGATATTTATAATGGATTATCACTGTTGAAATTACCCTATCAACACACCTGTTAGAAACTGTACTGCTTCTCTGGCCTTTATGATGATGTCATTTTTTTAATAGTTCACCATTTATTGACTCATAAAATTATAGCATATTTCATAATTGAGAATGAAAAAACCAAGGAGGGTGGTGCTTCTTTGGGATATAGCTTGACATCGTGGAAAGGGAAAGCACTTTGGAAGTCACACAGGCTTGATCTGAATTCCAGCACAGACACTGGAGATTCCAGGACTTAGAGCCACTTGCATAACCCTGAGCCTCATCTTCCTCATCTGTGAAATGTGGGCAGTGACCACTATGCTATAGACTCAATGACTTGACTGTTCCATGAGATCGTGTCTGCAAAGCAACTAAGCCCAATGTTAGACACTGAGTGGTAGTTATTCTTTTTATAACTGGATTTATTGAAAAAATCTGAGATTAAACATAGTCACAAGTAGTATCCTGAGGGTTGTAGAGAAAGACTACCAATTCAGAAAGTTAAAGCCAGAAATCTCATGGCTAATCAGTGTCAGTGACTTCAAGGTAGTTTAACTTCATGAGAACTTCTCAAATAGAAACAATAGTAAATGCCAACTTGAGTCTAGGACAGCCAGTGATTAGAGATCAAAGCGGTATTTATAAATGTTGACATTTCCTTGATTCAATGAAAGGCCTGGGATAATGGATACTTATGTGCCACATAGATTTCTTGGGAAATTTTTTAAAAAAGAGTTGTTGATTTGCATTCATTCTTTCCCTCACTCTACAAATATTTGTATATTTCCTAACACTATTAGATACTAAAGATGCAAAAATCAAAAGAAAATGGTAGGTGCCTTCTAGAAGCTTCCAATCTAGTGTTGGGTCTTTTATTTTTTTGGAAGAGGAGAGTTCTGGAATTTGAACTCAGAGCCTCACGCTTGACAGACATATGCTCTACTGCTTGAGCCTCTCCTCCACCCCTTTTGGTTCTGGTTATTTTAGATAGGATCATGCCTGGACCACAGTCCTTCCTTTAAATGCTTCCAGATATCACTGGGATGACAGTTATGTGTCACCACGCCCAGCTATTTTTTGTTGAGGTGGAGTCTTATGAACCTTTTTTCCCAAGCTGATCTGGAACCTCCATCCTCCTGACCTCATCCTCTCTAGTACCTACGATTCAAGGTGTAAGCCACCGGCATGCAGCTTAACCTTCGGTTTTGAAGTCTCCTTGTCACTATCACTGTACTCAAGTCACTGTCCTTTTATTTCCATTAGATACTCATATGCGCAGTACCTGTTATGGTGGAATCAAGAAGGGAGTGTGTGTGCGTCCTTTCCCTGGTGCAGTGACCAAGTCTGAATGCTGCTGTGCCAATCCTGACTATGGCTTTGGAGAGCCCTGCCAACCATGCCCCGCTAAAAATTCAGGTAGACACATGTGCCAATTTCACACTTAATGAGAATATCGATATGCGCAATTAGGTGTTTGACCACAGAGTACATCAGTTCTGAAGTGTTTTGGCATTGTTTTACATTGAAGAAGAAAAACACAATTCTAAATTGATACGTGATGCATCTAATAAAGAGCTTTGATTTGTGTTTGTGTAAGAGGCTGTTTAGACAAAGTGAGAACATGGTGAATAAAAAGGTCTATTTGCTAATACAGTTAAAATAGTTGCTCAAACTTGGTATATCAATGTGTCAGCTGCTATTTCCTTGATTTGTGGTATCACTGTGGAAAAAAATAGAATAACATTAATTTACCACACTTTCAAGGTTATAAAAATACATGACAACTTGATTTTATTCATTTAATCTTGACACAGTATGATGTCAAGCTGGTCTTATCAGTAGTTCCAGACTTGTAGGTGGATAAGGTTGACTCTGTTTCATTCGTACTTTCACCACACCTCTCTTGAATATGTGTAAGTATTGTGGGGATTCAAAGATAAACAGTCTCTGTTATCCTTAAAGTTGAGAATAGGTGAGAATATATACAGATAAACATAAATTACAATCAGTATGATTAGTGCCTTAAAAGGGACATAAAGGACAGGGAGCACAAAGGAAGGAGCAATTAGTTGCCTGGAGCAGCTAGGAAAGACTAACAGAAGGGGTACATGTAGTTTGGTCTTGAAAAAAATGATTAAGAACTTCCCATGTGGAGAATGGGAGAGAGGCAATCAAGTCCAATGGTTTGCAATCCTGTTAAAAATCCTAATTGGATTGTTCAAATTTTGAAAAGTTATTTGGTACATCTAGAGAATTACTCAGTATATTTTTTAAAAAAAAAAGTAATGAAGAGGATCTTGCTCTGAAATATACTAAGCTGCACATTATGATACAGGACAAAAATTGGTATAGACTACATTAAAAGAAGATCAAACCAATAAATCTACAAACAGAACTGGATATAATGTAGAATATAATAAAAATGGCGTTTTAGATCTGTGAGAACTATTGTTGATAAGATTTGGAAGAAACAAGTTAGTTCACTACATTAAACCTCCAAAATAACGTTCATATGGAATATATAGTTTTTATTATTTTGTAATGATGAGGGGCTTTCAAAACAGACACCAAAGACTAAAGTACACATACGAACTGGAAAAATATTTCATCTATCATTCCTTAAACTTTAAAGAATTTACATTAGTCAATAAGGAAATCTTCTATTAAAAAAAAGTACAATGTACACAAACAAGATTTCATAAAGTAGCGTGTAAATGGTAGATTTCCATATAAAAAGATGCCTTCTCTCTAAAAAGAAATCTAATAAAGTGACTTTTTTGGTTTATCAGGTCAGTAAAGTTATAGGCAAATGATTTTTCTTAAAATTAGGGATGGAATACACAATAGATATTACGTTGCTGATAGAAGTCTAGGGATGGAAGGAACAGAAGTCAACCCTAAAGAGGCCTAAGCTTTGAGAAGTTTTACTTCCAGGAAACTAGCCTAGTGACATAATTGAACTTGCTATTATTTACTATAGTTACTCAAAGTAGCACAAATACTGATTTCAGCAGTGAGAGACTGAATAAGCTTCACATGTCTGAGAATAAAATACTGAATGCTTTATTAAATGGAACATTGTCATGACATGTCTGTGACAGACCACCCAGGAGTCAGACCTGCTTCCCCTCTCACAACCTCGGTGACTTTGGGCAAGTAACTGCTTTTCTCTGACTTCCACTTTTCTTCCTTGTAAGAGAAAGGAAACAATGGTATCTAGTATGTGATGTTGGGAAGATTAAAAAACTTATTAGTAGAATTCTAGAAGAGTAATAGGCACGTGGTAAATACCGTTATGTCAGTTTTGACTTACTATTTTATTATTGAAAAAGAAACAAAGTTACAAAGCAGTTTCTGTAACACTTTTCAGATTTATACTGATAAAAATATCAGTATATTATAATAATAATATGCAGAATGACGATTATGAGTGATTTTTAACTTACTTTTTATACTTACCTGTGATTTGGGGAATTCTTATAATTATGTGCTAGAAAATGGTAATTCTCTTTTCATTGTAAAAACTAACACACAAAGTCTTCCAAATGGTAATTTTGGAATATGGAACAGGTGTAGGAATAGATGTAGTTTAGAGGTTTTAATTTTTCTGTTTGTTTTTATCACACAGCTGAATTCCATGGCCTCTGTAGTAGTGGAGTAGGTATCACTGTGGATGGAAGAGGTAATTTTAACCAATTATCAATCTTACAGTGATTACATAGCATAATTGTACAGCTTTTTAATCGAAATGTAATTATGATTATATTTACTATGAAATATACCAGCATAAAATAATAAGGTAAATAATCTTCTAGAGAAATGGTTCTAAACTCAATGACATTAAGTGGTGTTTTAACCAGTTAACCAGGTGTCATTTAGAATAAATATTTACCTCTTACATGTGCTTTGTCATTAACAAACCACACCCATGATTTTATGACCATGGTTGCTGAAGAGGAGGTTACAGTGAGTCAACTTAAAGAGAAAATATTAAATAATTCTGCAGATAGGGTTAGAAAAAATATCTGTCTTCAAGAGATACTTGATATGGATCAAGTTCAGGATATATAGTCCCCAAATAGTTTAAGACTGTGACTAAGACTACTAAAGATTTTCTACCTGAGTACAGGAGTAAAAATCCATTAAAATTTTATTTTAAATTTAGTATTATGTCTAACAAAACTCCAATATAGAATCTTAAATATTTAAATACATATGTGTTTATAACTTTAAAGTTCTTTTATGTTTTAGTATATACAGACTGCTTTCTTTGTATTTTAAATAAAACTGTAAGGTTCTTTTAATCTGTACTTTACATATATGTTCTTCTACTTTTATGTTTTAGAAGACTTAGTCACATTATAGATTAATTGGAAGTACTGTTAAATCTGTAAAGAAATTCTGAAACCAGAGTGAAAAAGGAAACTCTTACAAGGATACTTTTCCAAAATAGAAAAAGAAAAGGCTGACCAATTCCAGATTATTTAAGGACTTTTAAATCTTTTTTTTTTAACTTGCATTAACCGTACAAGGTTTTCTAAATTCTTGAGAACAATAACTGTTAAAATTTGACAGTGAACCAAATTTTATTTGGGGACCTCTTTTTTTTTATTGGTAGTATTCCCTGGCAATATGGCCTCCCCAGTAGAGCCAGCAGCCTGTTAGAAACTACTCTGTTGTGCTCAAGTGCCTCTACCCGTGGGTGACAAAGTATAGTAGTCATGATCATAGGTTGTTATAAAGCATTATGTTCTGAATCATCCATGTTTAAAGTGTCCTCTCCATTCATTTCAACTCTTCAATGATGAGAAACACTTATTAAGTATCATATTACTCAGTTAACTACAGAAAGAATGATAATAAAACAGAAATATCCTGTGCCTTCAGGGACCATAAAATTATATAGGCCACTCCAATAAATCTCAGTCTTTTAATTAGATATCTATAATACCTATCAAGTGAGTTTTCCTTTGGATTTTGAGCCAACAGGCTATAAATTTGCTTTATTAATTTTATCATAAATACAGACATATTATGTGGATTAATTCTTTGTATGTCTGCCAGCTCCTTTCATTTTTCTTTTGACTTACCAGTGAAATGTCCTGTATCCCTCAGTTTTATTTTCTTACTTCTTACTTTATTTCCTTTTCCCTTCTGAAAGCAGGAAAACTGTGGGTTTGCAGAGTTAAACACTTCATATGTTGAATGCTTTTTATCAGACCTGCATTTATTCACAAACAATAAAATGTCTGTGGGTATTGAATTTTCTACATTTAATGCAGATATTAATGAGTGTGCTTTGGATCCTGATATATGTGCCAATGGGATTTGTGAGAACTTAAGAGGCAGTTATCGTTGTAATTGCAATAGTGGCTATGAACCAGATGCCTCTGGAAGAAACTGCATTGGTAAGTTATTTGTCATGTGTATACAAGAGCTTTTCTTATAGTTTAATCCCATGGGAAAGAAGAGAAATAAAAATATAAAGAAATAACTAAATCTTACAGTTTTTCTTGTTTCCTTTGTAGTACACATTGACACAAAATATTAGAAATCAAACATTATTCAAGTTAAACTTCTTAGGGGTACTTACTAGTTAAAATATTTTCCGAAATGAATGAATACATACTAAATTATTGGCCTTTCGTTTTCTGTATATATCTTAATCTTGTACTTTTTCCTCTAAGAATGGACTTCAAAAACTAACAAGCACTATGGGTAACAGTAACTCAGGAAAATAAAATATTCCATGTTAAAGAAACTTTAACTTTATAGGGAAGCAACTAGGTACTACAAATAGCTAAACATAATAACTGAAGTATTCCTTTTTAAAAAAGGAATTTTTAAAAAAATTATTACAGAAAGTTTGAAAAACTTGTGTGTGATTAATACTTAACAAAACAAAACAAAGGAACGGGGAATGAGAAGGTTTGCTATGTTTCATTGGCTCACATACTGAAGAATCTGGGAAGAATCTAGGTTTTCCCATAGAGTACTTGAGTTCACTGGTACAAAGTGAAAGTTATTCAATCTATCAATTATACTTGGTAATTTTTACAACTTATCCCCGATGTATTTTATAGCCAAGTGTTAATGGTTGTGGTTAGGACAAAAACATGATTTTCTGTTTCTGGCAATGATTTTTATTATTGAACATGTCCATTTTGATATTGAGTTGAAGACTTCCATAGAGATGGAGTTATAAAACTATATTAGTATTATGTACTTACAATAGATTTTGATACTAGGAGGGGTCACCAGTCAAAGATTATTAAACATTTCTAAAAATCTGCAAACCAAGGGAGCTTTTATTCACCAGAAAGAAAGTCATTTCCAGATTAGCAAAGCAATTTCCAAATCTAGATGAGAACATGGGTACCCTACTAAAAACAGGAACATTCAGTGAGCATTCACACACTGCACCCAGATTTAAAAATGAAAATGGAGCCAAATTTCAGTAAAACAGGGTGTTTTAGTTTGCTAGGGATATAATAACAAAGTACCCAAAACTGTGATGCCTAAAACACTAGAAATAATTGTCTCATAGGTAGTAGAAGTCCAAAATCAAGGTGTCAGCAGGGCCATGTTTTCTCGGATGGCTCTAGAAGAGAAACCTTCCTTTCCACCTCCTGTTTCTGATGCTTGCTGGTCACCCTTGTCCTTCCTTGGCTTGTAGAGCATCCCTAATGCCATGTGGCCAGCCTCTCCCTATGAATCTTCTCATCCTCTTCCTTCTATGCCTGCTATGTCCAGTTTTCCCCCACTTGTATGGACACCAGACACGTTGGATAGCAGCCCACCCTAATGAACTTATTTTCACTTAACTACTTCTATAAAAACCCTAATTCTAAACAAGGTCATATTTTGAGCTACTAGGGCTGGGATTTCAACATCTGTCTTTTATAAGGGACACATTTCAAGCCATAGTGTGGAGAAATGGATAAGAAAATTATGGTGCAGTCACTTGATAATACTTTGTACAATCATAGGAAAATTTATAGCAATCCTTAAAATTTAATGCAATTTTTAAATATACATCAAGATTCAGTATTGGAGGAAAAACAAAACATCCAAAGGAGAAAAGATGAAGTAAAACATAAACAATAATATAAATAATAATGGGAATATGTACAATGTTTTCCACATCTTCACAGTGACAGTTTAAGGTTGGATAAGGGATGATTATTTATAAGACTAAAAATATAGCTAAGTAAAAGGACTCTCTATACTACAGTTTTTATTTCTCTAATTGACTACATTTACACAAACAAGGCGTAGATATGAAGATAAAAGTTATTGTGAGCTTCAGAACTGAGGATTTAGATGATCTTCCCTAGGTAAAGAAATACACAAAATATGTCATAAACAGTCCATTATTAACTGTTTCTGAGGTAAAAGCTTAATGGAAAATTAATGAATATCTTTTGTTTAATGTCCATTTAATGCATTCTTCTTACAATTCAAATTAGATAAAAGTGAAAAAATACCTTCGGTCACTTTTATTATATGTAAGCAAACATATAGACAAATGAGTTTAACCTTTATTTATCAGTGCTTTAAAATATATCTAATGTGCTCCTATTTTTGGATAAAAAGGCAAATGAAGGAGAACAAAGTAGTCATGAAACTTTCTAACTACAACATATAAAAGCAGGGACTTTAAAGGAACCTAAAAGGATTCTCCAGCATAAGAATGTGCCACATGAATAAAACTGAATATATTTTGCTTAAAATGAAGGAGTGTGCTATAGTACAAAGACACTAAGTCAGAAAGAAGGGCAAGGGGAAAAATAAATAAAGTAAAACATGGTTGATAATTGTGGTACATGTTTAAGTATGTGTTACCTTCTGTCTTTCAACGGTTGCTTCCAGACATTGATGAGTGCTTGGTAAACAGACTGCTTTGTGACAATGGACTCTGCCGAAACACGCCAGGAAGTTACAGTTGCACATGTCCCCCTGGCTATGTGTTCAGGACCGAGACAGAGACCTGTGAAGGTAAGGGCTGTCTTCCTGGCCATAGTTGTGAACAGGGAGCACCTAAAGATGCATGCACGTTAACTACAGTGATAACCAGTCAAAAGAGCATTGTGCAATACTTTGTTTATTTTATAATCTCTTTCAGCTAATTTGTCAATTTCAGAAATAGCATACATCTAACCTAGTTTATAAACAGTGTTTTGTTCCACTCAGATAAAATATCAACAAACACTTGGGAAAAAACATTTTGAAGTGAAAGGAGAAAAACATAAAAGAAGGGAAGGAGCCATTTTGTCTTACTTGCTGAAATAAAATGTCAGGTTTTTGTTTGTTTACTTTTTTTTACCCTTCTTTAAACCACTGTGACACATTAACTTCTGAGCTTCAATTGCAGTGACAAAGTCAGCTCTTCTTAGGCATTTTATTTTTGAAGTAGGGCATCCACTCAAAAGTTTGCCCCAGAAAATATTTGGGGAAAAGTAAAAATGATCACTTTAATGAAATTTATAGCCTTGAGAAATTTCTCCTTTCCATTTGATAATTTAAAAGATTTTATTTAGGTATGTAGATCACAAATCAACATTTTAAAACTTCTTCCTTGTCGGATGTGAGGGTGCACACCTGTAATTCCAGCACTCAAGAGGTGGAGGCAGGAAGACTGTTAGTTTGAGGCCAGCCTAAACTACAGAGTGAGAGTGTCTCAAAAATCACAAACTGCTTAATTTCAAAGCATTCTTGTGACTAGAAAGAAGTTAGGACTTTGATAAGTAAGATGCCAAAAACACCAAATGACTCAGATGAAGTCAATGAAATGCAATTACAAAGTGCAACTATAGTTGGATTGAATTGGAGGGACCACTGAAACACAATAATTAGCTAAAGAAAGAAAGAATAAAGAAAACCTTGGCTTGAAATCTTGTTTTTCTAAATTTAGCTGTGGTAATTGTTTCCCCACTGTCCACAGCTTTGCAGAAAACTCCTCAAGGATAAGGCTCATGCATGCCAAGTTGAAGAACATGAAGGGTCTTCCTCCAGACAAGTGGGGGCCTCCTTAAGAGTTGGGAGGATCTGTAGGCGACAAGGGCTCTCTTGGACTACCTCAGCTTCTCAGATACACTTAAATTCAGAGTCTCTATTTTCTAACACCCACTCCCACTTCTAATACCTACTAACCTTCAAATTGCTCTGAGAAAGCTACTTTGGAAAAGACAGTCTAGCCATGGGTTTTTTTTTGGAGAGGTGGGAGAAGTTGATCCCTAATGTTTTTAGTTTTCCTACTTGGGACTCTTCTCTCCACTGTCTTTATGCATTTTATCTACGGTCTGTTGGAGGATAAGCTTCTGATCAATATCAGGAAACTTTGAAAGCAAGAGCAGTTGAAGATATCATCTTGATTTAATGAAGAATCTGTTGACTATTAGGACTGGTTTCCCATGCCACAGTGAGGACACCCTCTGGTGTTATTGTGAAGAGAAACACACAGTAGGGAACTAAGCTGATGGTGTCTGATTCTGTGCGGTATGCACACTGAATTATTAATGATTGTTTCTAGTATGTCCTTTCTATTTTAACAAGTAAGATGGAGTTGAAAGATACTGAGAGATGAACTACCAAGGAGGTAAGAGTCAAAGAGACTCTCCCCTTAAATAAACAATCACAAAGAATAAGAGGCAATGGTGTTTAAACCGTGTAATGTTGGATGATTACATAAATGTTAAGGCTCTTGGTAGCAAATTTGGGTAGCAGTGAGGATGGAAAGAGTGAGCTATACTTTTTTGCTCAAAGGGTACTTGTTCTTAATAAACCTGAGCCTTTTTTTCACATAAAAACTGTTTTTATCTGTCATTCATAAGAAAAAAGTTCATGTTATGTAAATGATGAAGAAATAATAGGGAAATATTTTCACCCGACCCTTCCAACATCAGTGGAAATAAAGAATGATATGTCATGGGAACCTATCCAAATAAGTTATTCCTACACTTTGTGCCCACTGTTAAGTATTTTTGCAAAAAAGAGAACCAAAGGCCACTCACCTCTTTTTCTCTGGGTCTCTTCCTTATTTCCACCAATTGCATGCAAGCAGTAAATTTGTCTGCCTAAAGCCTTCTATTCGTTCTACTCTTTCTTAACTAATTTCCCAGGACTAGACAGGGAATTATTAGCAGATTCATTGCAGATTTTAGCTTTCTCCATATATATTTGCTCTGTCCACTAATTTTATTTGTCATTCATGTTTTCAACAGGCTATTTTACATATGTAATAAATAGCAGTAATAACAGAGGAAAGTTCCTCTATATTTCAGATTGAAGTTATGTTTTTTTCAGTTGGAGCTCTGAGAGTCTGTGAAAGTTAAAATTTTTACAGCAAGCACTGTGGTTTAGATTGTGTTCCCAGTGACATAACTAGTTAAATGTAACCAGATGTGCTTTGAAGTTTACTTCCAGGAATGTACAGTGAACTGTTTCAGTTCCTGGTTCCATGACATTTATAACATAAAAACATTGTATTTAAAGGAAAAACTAAATAGTTGATATTTTGTAGTTGTCACTGCATGTATTTATAGGTTTTGAATTCATCATTGCACAAGTTAAAGTAATGATTTCTAAAGATTATGGCATTGACATTTTTCTTTTGGGGTAGGTTTTTCACAAATGAAATTAATTAAATAGGGTATACCTTCAGATTGGTTGTCTGCTTCCTGTATGGTTATCTAGTTAACTTTTTTATGTTGTCTTTTTATGAAACAATTTCAATATTATAGAATGTTTTCATTACAAATTGTTGCTACATTTGTAAAAACATGCTCTTATATTTTTAAGCTTTTTTTCATCACAAACAATCTGAAAACAAAATATATTTCACATTTTTAAATAATTTCTATTAGTACCAGGGTGGTTGTTTAAATTTTTCAAGTAGCAGTACCTGTTTTCTGCACTGACTTTTAAATTTGCATTTCAAGCCCACTGACTTGAAAATCAACTGTAGAGCCTGCCCATCCGGATCAGTTCAGTGTATATTTGAATTGAGACTTTCAAGAGTAAGCATTAAATTTTTCTAGTTACATGTTTGCATATTTTCTTCAATATACAAAGGTGTTTTATATGAAATTCAAATTAATGTTAAGTGGGAAAAGAGTTCTGGTGAACTCAGAAACTCCACTGTTAAGTCCATCTTGAGGTATATACCAGTTTCAGATAATTAACCAAGTAGAGAAAGCATCTGTGTGGCCTTATTTAAACTGTGTGGTTTAATTTATATTAGAAGTGTTCTTGATATTGTCTCTTTATGTTAGCTCAACCTTATATTTCTGTTCTGCTAACTCAAGTGTTAAATTATTTAACTTTATAAGCTTGAAAATTTCTTTAGTTACGCCTTGAGAACAGCATACTGTGATTCTAGTTGCTTCTGGCCACCAACAGGAATTACTTAGATTTGGGTATATGGGTTGCTTTAAAAGTAAATGTAAGTAATAATTATAAAGGTCTACTTGAATGTATTTACTTATAGTCATCAAGTTCTTCTCATTTTTTCCTGCTGAGGATTGGCCCAGGGCATAAGGCATGCTAAGCCTTTGTCCTTCCACTAAGCAACACCCCAGCCCTAGTTTTTCTAATTTTATTTTACCAAATTACATGTGTCCAAAAAATGCACCAGACTAAACATGTAAATATGAAAGGCAAAATAAAGAGGAAGGTGGATAGGAGCTAGAGAAGAATTCTGTACCTGGTAAGAAAGTTTCAGTCTTTATTTTCTGATTTATATCTGGGGGGGTTGAAATTAAAGCCAGCATTGTTATGTTTGCCTTCAAAGCCTCGTGGGACCCATAAGTGAAAGAAACAATCAACCTTTGTGCACAGCTTGTTGCACCTGGAATTACATCCCATCACAGGGGAAAACTAAGCCAACTTATATACTGAACCTTTTCCAAATAGGCTTTTCCCTGTAGTCGTCCTGAGTCCCCACTCATGTAGATGTGTATCGACGATGTAAATACATGTCTCCATTTCCCACTCACTTTATGCCTTGTAGATCCATATTAAAATTACAAGAGCCAAGTTTACCAGACATTCTGGCATAGCACAGCTTGTTGGAATAATATTTTCCAGAAATGCATGGCAGTTCTATACAGAATCTTTTCCTTCTGGATTGTAGATATAAATGAATGTGAAAGCAACCCATGTGTCAATGGAGCCTGCAGGAACAACCTTGGATCTTTCAACTGTGAATGCTCGCCTGGCAGCAAACTCAGCTCCACAGGATTGATCTGTATTGGTGAGATTCACACACTGTCCTGATGTTTCAGTTTCTCTGTAAAGATAAACACACCTCAGGCCTTTCTGGAATAAAACAGAACATGAGAGGAGTAGAGTTTAATAGCATAAACTAGGCAGCCTTTTAAATTGCGTTAGATTCTGGAAAGTATTCTTTTAATGTAAGTGGATATATTATTCTGTAAGTTATAAGCATTTCCATAACAAACATATATATATATAGATATATATATAGATATATATAAACTGCTTTAGGCATCAATACAATCAAATTCCTATTGCAGACTTTTTATAAACAACCATTTGTCATAAACAAAAATGTGATGGAATTTGGGTTCAGTTAACAGGACAAGAATTTGAAGATTTTAAACTTTAAACACATAGAGGGAATTTATTATTTTTTCCTTTCCTTTCTTAATTACAAATTTATGGTCTCTAAGGAAGAGAAATGTTTTCTTGCCTTTGGAAATCTCTAGGAGATTCTAAACCTTCTAAACTAACATCTTTTAGTATGCTTAAAAGCTCAGTTCTTTTTTCACTAGTACATATTAACTGTACAAAGAGACTCATTGTGATGTGTCCATACACACATACATATAATGTGCTTTGATCTAATTCGCCTCTTGTATAACTCTTTCTTATTGACTCCCCCCCTTTTTTTACAGTATTTAATGAGTTTCATTCTTCTATTTTTGTACATGCATATAAAGTACTCTAATCATATTCACCATTCACCCTCTCCTTTTGCTCCTACTTCCCACTGGCTGCCTTCCCTCAAACAGCCCCTCTTTCACACTCATGTCATTTTTTTATGTCTCAACTCAGTTCTGGATAATGAGATAGGATGTATGCAAAGCAAAATAGTCTGATCTATGACTATAAGGAAAAATTCAACATGTGTAAGGGAAAACAGCTGTCCCAGTAACTCTTCTGTGGTTCTAGTGCCAGTGGCTACATCTATTAAGCACGCCACAGTTCATATCACTCACTAGCATCCACCTTTAAAGTGAACTAAATATATGTTCCAAATAGTAACAAAGATATTTCACCTTCACATAGTGCTAAATAAACTGGCAGGTTTTTGTTTGTCTATTATTGAGCCAAAACAAACTTTCAATTTAATATTTGCCAATGATAGGATTATTTTCGGCATTGTATCTGATTATATTTATAACCATATGTAGTTGTATGCTACAGTACCTATTTGTTACATGACTAGAAATGACCAAGACTAAAATTATCAATGAAAATTTCTTTGGAAACTCCAACTCTTCCTTTCCCAGGGAGGTACAGCTGCTGGAATTTGAGTCTCGCTTAGTTCTCCATATTAGGAATACACTGCTTTCTGCCTAGGGCAGTACTTTTTTTTTTTTAATAGAATTCCAGGTGTTGAGGGGGGCATGGGTTGGATCTATAAAGCAGAAATATTTTTGCTAAGGCACAATTTCCAACTGAGATGGAGTCATTTTTATTATGCACTTTCAATTTAATATTTGCCAATGATAGGATTATTTTCGGCATTGTATCTGATTATATTATAACCATATGTAGTTGTATGCTACAGTACCTATTTGTTACATGACTAGAAATGACCAAGACTAAAATTATCAATGAAAATCTTTGGAAACTCCAACTCTTCCTTTCCCAGGGAGGTACAGCTGCTGGAATTTGAGTCTCGCTTAGTTCTCCATATTAGGAATACACTGCTTTCTGCCTAGGGCAGTACTTTTTTTTTTTTAATAGAATTCCAGGTGTTGAGGGGGGGCATGGGTTGGATCTATAAAGCAGAAATATTTTTGCTAAGGCACAATTTCCAACTGAGATGGAGTCATTTTATTATGCAAAGGAAATGAACTCAGCATTAGTCAATTAGTGTCTCAGAAAGCTAAATCTGTGTGCCACTTGAGCATCAAAGATATGTTAGTTTTCACTTCATCATATAGACTTCTACTACTTTGGCCTTTTCTCCATATAGTTACTAATAAAACAAAGATTTTTATTCCCAAGTCATTATGTCATTCTTCCAATTGCCAACAACTAAACACCACCATATTTTTCCTAGCCATTGTGATACATGTTTTCATTCATCCCAGCTTACAACTACTCAGAAAGAAATTTATCTAATATTTTAAAATTTTGGATATCATTTTTCTCTGTTGTTTTCATTAAAAAGATAATTCTAGTAGAAAAATCAAAAGTCTGAAATACTCATAGAAACAACATGAACATATTTTTAATAGGATTATCAGTGGTTCTAATACTAGAACAGTAAACTTGATAAATCTTTGTACTGCTTTACTTTAAGGGTTCAGTGTAATTCAGACCCATATCCTTCTTTGGCTTGGGCCTGCACTCTTCCCTCAGGTGGCACAGACATGAGAAGAACAGTGATTTCCCTGCCGTCACATCCTATGATCTATTCTTAGTCCGCACCTTAGACTTTATTAGCAGTGTTGTTCAATCCTTCACCCACTCTTTTCTCAAAAAGTTTTTCCTTGAGTACTCCCAAGCACAGCTATCTTCTTATCCTTCTACTTTTCTGGCCCATTTTTTTCCATTTCCTTTGCTGAGTCTTTCTTTATCCTCCTACCCTCCAACCTTAAGTATTCTACCTGTCAGTCCATGTATCTCTGCTTCTCTGTGTACTCATCCTTGGATGAGCTCTATAATGACTTTCAAATTTATGACTTCGCCTTGAACCTCTCCACTAATTTCAGACTTGTCTTCAGTTGTCTCCACTTGGATGTCTCATAGACATCTCAAAGTAATTTGTCTAAACCAAATTTCTGTCTTCTGGCTTGAATGTGTGTTTCCTAGAAACACTTTCACATTAGCAAATGCAAACCCCATTCTTCCAGTTGTTACTCCCCAAATCCTTGGCCTTGTCCTCTATGCCTTCTTCCCAAACATACAGTGAATCCATCAGTAAAACCTATTGATGACTACACTTCAAGTTTATCCATATTTCAGCTATTTCTTACCAACCCCCATTCCAAGTCTCCATTATTTCTCTTCTTGCTTAATATCATACCCACCAACTTACCTTTTTTCCCCATATTTGCCACCCTGCAGTCTACTTTCCATATAACCACAACATAATTCTTTTAAAACTTAAGTGAGCAGATGTCTTTCCTTGTCTGGAAACCCTGGCTGTAAACCACTTGGCTTATCCACTCACTCAAAGCAAGAGCTAGAATCCTACAAAGCAAGAGCTAGAATCCTACCAAAGCCTGTTTGCCCTCGTAATGCTTCCTGCTGTGTCTTTGTCTCCCACTGCTTTTGCCTCTTGCCCTCTTCAGTGAGCCACACTGACCTACTTCTGTGCTCCTACGAGGTTCAGCATGCACCATCAAAGGTCCACTGTACTTGACCTCTGTGAACGAGAGTGCTCCTTCACCCAGGATTGTTCTCTTTTTTTTCTATTCTAATATCACATCATAAGCCAGGACTTCTATAATCATCCTTGGATAAAATAAGTCTCTCTCATTCACACCCTCAAGGTTTAAAACTCCACGTTTATCTCTTTTTTTTTCTCAGATCTTTAAGTAATCCCTGGCCAGATGTCTATGTTTTGTATATTGCTGTGTTGTGTGTGTGTGTGTGTTTGTATGTGTGTGTGTATACATGCATGCACGCATGTTTATATATACAAAAATCAGAAGAAGCTGAGAGGGGATGGTTATAAAGGGATTGTAATTTTAAGTGCTGGTGCAATACTAACCTAAAAGAGCATGGTTTTTATGGAGTGAAGGCCTAGAATCAACTTCAAAGGTTGGACTCTTGAGGTTAACACAGCAGTAGCTGATTGACCTTAGGTAAACTAGTTGATTTTCATGTGTCTCTGTTTTCTCATCTGAAAATTGTACACATCTCACAGGGTCATTTTAATGAATAAATAAATAGGTGGGAAGCCTTTAGAATGGTGCCTGTCACTAGCTTAGTAGTCAATATTAGCAATTCCTGTTACAGTTTATCTTACTTTAAATGACCAAAGCCAGCGTGATAAATCAGTAGTAGTTTGGGTCATAAAAAGACCAACTAAATTCACAAGTCTTACATGAGTTTCTGTTTCTTCTGTGCTATGGCTTGTTCAGGTGCAACCTGCAAAAAGCCTGCAGTTTGCAACCTGACGCAAATGGTGATGTCCATATGTATACAGTTTTACACAAACCGAACATTCCAGCCAGAGGTAAAAGCAAAGTGACTGTCCAGCTCTCCCACACCCTTGCCCTGTAAATTTGTACCCTGTCAAGGAAAGTGTTGTTGCTTTCTTTTAATCTCTGTCTCAGAGGGCTTAGGCTGTAACAACTTCCCCTTTTTTTGCTGCTGTGCTCTGTAGGGAATCAGAAATCACTACTTCTCCCTTCAGAGGCCTACCAGCTTCATCAGTTCCTTTTCTGGGTTTGTGGAACTTATTTTTTTTGTTTTCACTGTTGAAATAAATTCTACAGGAATACACCTTTTTGTTTTTTGAGCTGTGTGCCACAATATGATATGAAGGTTTTGTTAATTGTGTTTTTCATATTACATGCATAAGAATCACCCAAGGAGCCTGTCAACATGCAGATTTCAGGACTGCACGCTCTTACACACTTAACTAAGAACTACAATTTTGCAAAGAAAACGTCACATGTAATTTGTATAACCAATTAGTAATTTTCCATGGATTGGATCCATTATCACTGCTTTAAAATCGGTTACTAAGTGGGGAGCCAGTGGCTAATGCCTATACTCCTAGCTGAGATTGGGGATTTGTGGTTCTAGGCCAACTGAAGCAAAAAGTTTGGAAGACCCTATCTCAATACACGGTGGTTCATTCCTGTCACCCCAGCAGCCTGAGCAAGAAGCAAGTCTCTTATCTTAAAAATAATCATGGGGGTTAGCGGAGTGGCTCAAGTGGTAGAGTACCTGCCTAGCAAGTGTGAGGCCCTGAGTTCAAATTCCATTACCACCCAAATAAAAAAGCATTAGGGAAAAGAGGCTAGAGACGTGACTCAAGGAGTAGAGTACCTGCCAACAAACATGGAACCCTGAGTTCTATCCCCAGTGTCACCAAAATAAATAAATTAATTCAATAAAATAATGTAGTATAATAAATAATATAATCAGTTTTTTAAACATCACTTATTGTTTGTTCATTTGAAAAACTATTATGCCACCAAAAGATTTACAAGCTGCTCATTATTCCTCTTAATGCACATGAAGTAAAAATTTAGAAGTATATCGTATTTTCCGGGACATTCTACTGTTTAAAAGGAGTAAATTAAATTTGCTGTGGAGACATACTGAAAACATTGGAAGTGTTACCTCTAAATGGTCAGATTACAGGTCATTTTTATATCTTCTTTTTATTTTTCCGTTTCCATAAGCATGTATTACTTTTTGAACTAAAGATGAATCTGTGTATATATGTATGCATAGAAAAATGTCTGAAAGAAAAATGCATGAGGAATTAACCCCAGAGATGTCTGAGTGGTGGTTTTATAGGTTATTTTATTTTCTTCTTTGTTTTGTAGAGTTTTTTTTCTTCCAAATTATTCATCAAATAATTGTCTTCAACTGAGAAAATACTGGCTTCTGTAAAACAGAGCATAGATTAGCTGTGGCCTGTTTGCTGGGGAAATTTGGGAGAAAATAAAACTGAGGGACTTTATTTGGTAAAATCTTAACTATCACAGCATTTATCACAAACAATAAATCTTATGAATATTTTCCATGCATGTAATGGTATTATTATGGTAACACACCTTGTTTCTAAATACCAGCATGAAATCTTGGGCAATGATGTCTCCTCCTCTGTAGAATATCAGGAGATATAAATCTGTTGATTGTCATATCACATGAGGATGTGTATGTGGTATAATATTTGATTTATGTGAATTAATACACCATTCTTAAATACGTGTACATTTAAGTGTGTTCAAAGGAGTATGCTGTTAAAACTTTTACAAAATTATTCTCTCTTGTTTTTTAATTCTGTAACAAATGTCTTTGGAATACACAGAGGAATTTCATTTTCTTCAGAGATAAGAGCTTGCCTACCTTTCTTATTCCTTTTCAGACAGCCTGAAAGGGACGTGTTGGCTCAACATCCAGGATAACCGCTGTGAGGTGAACATTAACGGAGCCACCCTGAAATCTGAGTGCTGTGCTACACTGGGAGCTGCCTGGGGAAGCCCCTGTGAGCGCTGTGACCTGGGTAAGTGCCATGCCCCATGTCTGGGGCCTTCTGGGCTGCTCATCTGACAGCTGCTTGGTCCCTCAATGAGAGTTCTTCTCAGCATGCATTCCCTCAGCGACAAAGACCTTAAGCTCATCGATCTCCAAAAATCCTGTCCTTCCCAGCTGAACTTACTCCTCCTGAAATGTTTGTGTTTGATTTTTCCTTTTGCTATAAGCAGGTCTTCTGAACATTTTACACAACAAGGCAGTTAGCTCAAATCTAGCTGCTAAGCAAGCTGTCTGTCTGTATCCTCCAGGGTCCTCCTTTGCATTTACCCAGTAGGACACGGTGATTCCTTCCCTTGAGTCTTTGTTTATTTGTAATTCAGTTGTCCATATGAGAGCAAAAAAGAATTGCAGGAAAAATCCCAATATAACTCAACAGTGATAGAATGACTACAATAAGTCATGTAATTTTCTGAATTGAGGGGTCAGCTAGAGTCCTCAGCCTCTAAAACCCTGCCCACAATTTATAATTCCATTACACTGTTTCTAGATCTTAAGACGGATGTCTTGTCTTTGCAATGAAGCAAAAAATGTGTCCTGTTTTTGGTACAGATGCAGCTTGCCAGAGAGGATTTGCCAGGATTAAGGGTGTTTACTTGTGAAGGTGAGTATATTCTTGGATGATGTTGTGTCTTTAGAGCAGAATATAAGATTAGTACTCACTCACAAACTTTGGAGCTTTTCATTATTTCAAAACCTTGAAATTTCAATTAAAATACTAACCAACAAATTCTTTAGCATAATTTGCTTAGGAAACAGCTTAGAGTTTCTTATTCTCCCTTTTATACAGTTAGGGAAACCTTTTAAAGATTTCGCCAGCCTTCAAGGCACAGAACAGCTGGCAGAGGAGCATGTCTGGGCATTTTATAGACAGGCAAGTCCGCAGTCGTTTTCACAGCTGGGGCTGAGTTGTGAAATATTTTTATTGAACTCAAGTAATAGTACACATTCTATTGCAGATTGGATGTGCTGTATAGGAAGTGAGACTACACCTGCCTTTTCTATTTGTAACATCCTTGTCCCTCTGCTCGCCCTACTTCCCTGCAGATGTTAATGAGTGTGAGGTGTTTCCTGGCGTTTGTCCAAATGGACGCTGTGTCAACAGCAAAGGATCTTTTCACTGTGAGTGCTCTGAAGGCCTTACTTTGGATGGGACTGGCCGTGTGTGTTTGGGTAAGTTTCACACCCTCATGTGTTTTATGCATGGAACCAGCCATCAACTTTCTTGTCCTTTGGACAGTGGCCAGTCCAAAACCACTGAGTCTCTACTCAGAAAATCCAGCTTGAAATTTTGGAGGAAAAAGACACCTTAGGGGTGAAATCACCTGAGGATATTTTAAAAGCAAATGCACTTAAGTAAAAGAGGTTACGGAAAGTTAGTACCACCCCAAACCTATCTTTTAAGTTTAGTTTTTTAATCAGATACTGGAGGCAAGTTCAGTTTTTCACCTGAGTTGGTAGGATGAGAAAACTATGCACATAGTGAATTGAATACAGAAGAAAATTGGGAAACTCGGACTTGAAAAGTTGGCATCGACCAGCTCATTGCTGCGGTACCCTTTGGACTTCTCCAGTTTGGGACAAAATTAGGTTGTTTCTATTCGAAATCATTGACTGATCCTGGGCCTTCCTTTACCATTTGTAGACTTTAAGTTTTCTTAAAGTTTTATTTTCTAAATGTCTAAAGTGAGGAATCTCTTTTTCAACACTAAACTACAGGATGATGATTTGTTCTTATTCTTTATCCTTTTTTGACTGAACTGGAATTTAATGATGGAAAAGGGTACTTCTATTAGTTTCTTATTGTATGCAAATAAGTTTTTCATTTAAAGAGATTTTTTTTCCAATAAGGTGTGGAATAGGGTTTTTTTGTTTGAAAAAAAATGTTTACATAGTTTGTATTTGAAATTTAAAAGGGTAGATAGGTATTATTCAACATTTTTTAAAGTATTTAAACTTATCAGTGATTTTTTTTTAGTAATTAGTAAAACAAGTCTGTAATACCACACAATTTAATTCCTACAATAAGCATAAATTACATTTTAAGTTAATTTTGGCAGTATATTTAAATTTGGATAGAAAGCATGACTATAAATTCAAGTGAAATTGTTTAGAAGACATTATATACAAAGTATAAAAATAAAAAATTATTTTCAGGTTTTTAAATATTTTAAATTGTCTTAAAATTGGCTTCAATGTTCAGAAAAAATAAAGTATCTCGAGAAAAATGAAATGAAAGCATCAGAAAAGTCAATGATAAAAGCGAGAGCACACAAGGGAGGGGTGAGGATAGGTAAGACACCTAAAAAATTAGCTGGCATTTGTTGCCCTTAATGCAGAGAAACTAAAGCAGATACCTTAAAAGCAACTGAGGCCAATAGGAAAAGGGGACCAGGAACTAGAGAAAAGGTGAGATCAAAAAGAATTAACCTAGAATGTAACACACACGCACAGGAAATCAATGTGAGTCAATGCCCTGTATAGCTATCCTTATCTCAACCAGCAAAAACCCTTGTTCCTTCCTATTATTGCTTATACTCTCTCTACAACAAAATTAGAAATAAGGGCGAAATAGTTTCTGCTGGGTATTGAGGGGGGGGACAGGGAGGAGGCGGAGTGGGTGGTAAGGGAGGGGGTGGGGGTGGGGGGGAGAAATGAACCAAGCCTTGTATGCACATATAAACAATAAAATTTAAAAAAATGATTAATGAAATCAAGTTGCCTTTACTAACCAAAGGATATAATAAATGATACATATCAATTGCAAATTATCTGTCAGCAAAATCAATTTCTAATAACATCACTCAAAATCAAAGCCTTCATAATATTTTTAAATGATATATTGGATTCTTCATTCTTATACTTAGTTAAATGTTTTTGTCACTACTCAAATTTATGCTACATTGATTCATTCTATCTGAAGATGTGAAAATGTTTCAAGAAGACATTGACAAATGAAAGTGTAAAATATTCTGAGAACAAAAGTAGTTATACATTGCTCTAATAGAACTTCATGTACATCAGAGATCTCAAATGCTCACAGCAACCAGGTAGGTAATATAAATGAGTGAAGTGACACTGGGGAGAAGTGGGGAATACAGCAAACTTCAGAGCGCAAAGGTTCCCAGATCGATATTTAAATTTCTGTGCAAGCTACAGTGTTTACAGGTCTTATGTGACCCATGTGCTAATTGTTTTGATTCTTGATGTAAAATAAATATTGATATAAATCTCCATAATAAAGACATGGGATTACTCTTCTAGGCTATCATAATTTTTACAGACTTAGTTCAAATATCTTTGTGCCCCCAATTTATCCCAGAATAACTTCTTGAGCAAATTACTTCTGTGACCTTAGAAACAGAGGGAATCAGGCCAGAGTTCTCAGTCCACCCATACTTACCCTTCTATTGAAGATCCTTACATCCCTAGTGCCAGTGTTGGATGGAGCTGGCCGCAACTGATAACTCTTGGGAACCTTGTGACAATGATCTCATCGGGTACTGTCACACTTCACACTGCAGGATGTGACTTTACTTGGTGTTTGTGTAGCTCTATAAGGCAGAGCTGCCTACTGTGATTAACTACATTCTGTCTACTAAATCAAAATGAAAATTTGCTATAGTTACTATTTTTATGAAAATAGAACTTTTTAATTACAACACTTGGAAGTGCAGGTAACTCAGTTACAGACAGTTGTGAAAGTGGATGATGCCTTTGGTTAAGAATTTGGTAGAATCAGTATTGACAGTAACTAACCTAATGAAGTTATTTACTTGTTTAAGTTTACATTTTCATCAGGGATCTCTCTCCCTTTGCTCAGTAGTTCCCAAGTTCAAAAAAGATATATTTTAATGGTTGTACCAAATTGCCAATAGATTGCAAGTGACGGTATCCTGTTGATGACTAGTTTCTGACATGGCTACTTAAAAGCCATTTTAGGAAATTTGGTGAATAAGAAGAATCTGTCATTAAAATTATCTTACCCTTTCTGATGAGAAAAATACAAAGTAATCATCATAGATTGTAACATGAAAAAGTCATGCCTCTAGGAGACCTTTACTCCTTCAAAGTTTCTTGTGCAAATTAAGTAATGCTGAAGAGGAACCCACTTTTGCACTTCTTAAAGGACTTACTATTATGGAGTCCATTCCAGGAGGTCAGGGACTGTGTGTCTCATTATCCAGTGAATCTCTAGGGCCCGTCATTATGCTGGTGCTAAACAGACACTCAGTGTATGAATGTTCAATGAATATTTCAACTACTTTCAAACTGCAACTCCACTCTCCATGTAGATGTCCGCATGGAGCAGTGCTACTTGAAGTGGGATGAAGATGAGTGCATCCACCCTGTTCCTGGCAAGTTCCGCATGGATGCCTGCTGCTGTGCCGTTGGGGCAGCTTGGGGCACTGAGTGTGAAGAATGTCCCAAACCTGGTACCAAGGAGTATGAGACTCTGTGCCCCCGAGGACCTGGCTTTGCTAACAGACGGGATGTTCTCACTGGACGGCCATTCTACAAAGGTAACTGCCAGCAACGCCCTGGTCTCTCTACACCCACTGTGGTCTACGAGAATTGATTTTTCTTTAAGCACATATTTGTGGGCAATCATGTAGTCTAAGAGTAAAAATTACCCTTAGAAAATAGTACTGAAGTACAGCTAGAGCTAAAGGAACCAGTGCTCTTTATTTATGACAAAGAATCTGTTTCACAAGGGAATCTTTTCATTTGGCATTTCAAAATTTGATAGCTCTCCTGTTTAATTGGGTATGTTATTTTTCATTATGATCAATTTTTAGCTTAAGGTGATAGACCTACTCATTTTTATCAACCAGCTCCACATCCCAACTTTGTTCCGCTTTTAGATATCAATGAATGCAAAGCCTTTCCTGGAATGTGCACCTATGGGAAGTGCAGAAATACAATTGGAAGCTTCAAGTGTCGTTGCAATAGTGGCTTTGCACTGGACATGGAGGAAAGAAACTGCACAGGTGAGATTGTTCTTCTGTGTTATTTGGTAAACTTTAACTCTCTTTCCTTTGCTGTTTGAATATACTGCCTTCAAAGCCCATCTTATCTGCTGGGCAATGATGACTCACGCCTGTAATCCTAGCTACTCAAGAGGACAGGATCAGGACAATCACAGTTCGAAGCCAGCCCAGGCAAACAGTTTATGAGAGCCTATCTCAAAAATATCCAGTGCAAAACAGGGCTGGCAGAGTGGCTTAAATGGTAGAGCACCTGCCTAGCAAGCGTAAGGCACTGAGTTTAAGCCTCAGGACCACAAAAAAAAGTCCATCTTCTCACTAAGAACATGTAACTTTTTATAGTTCTTCTTAAACTTAAACCAGCTCTCCAAATAGTTTGTAAGAGATTTTCAAAATAGCACAAAAAATACTATTTGCTTAACATATAGGAATGACATAAAAGATGATTTGCAAAATATATGAGGACTAAAGAATACAGCCACTAAATCCATGACAGTTTTATAAACTTCAATAGTACATTATGAAAAGTTTTTAAGTTTATAACAGGGTTGTTGTGACTTCTCCTTATTGTGGAGCAGTACTCTTTACATTCCCTTTAGCTTTCATGAAACTGCAAATTTTTCTATTAAATAACATAGTAAATTATTCCAAATGCTTGAACTGTATCTACAAGATCTTATCTTCAGAACTCTTATTTATATTCTCCTTGAAATTTTCCCTCCCTCCAGCTATCATTCTGTTTTCCTTCTTACCCCTCTCTAACCAGCCATTATTCTGCAATTTTGACTTTTCTCATCCTATTCAAACACATGCATATCCTAAGAAACACCTTTGAAAAGTTAAGAAAATCTTTTTCTTGGTACATATTCTCTTTACCTCTCTTCTTGAGCTGAACAGAGAAGGGTCTGACTGTGGATAAGGTTCTCTCTGCTGAGGTACTACCTGAAGAAGGCCTTCTGCCACAATGTTCCCCAAAGCTGAGAGGCAAGGGATGGAGTTCCTGGCCAATATATCACAGTATTTGCCACGTTGTGGACTCCCTCAATCCATTGGGCTTCCACAACCGAATCCTTCATTTTTACAACCAATTAGAGTCTTCATCCTTAAGTAGATCTTAGCTATGTATCTAAAACAAACAAACAGAAAACACTTTGCACTGAGTCAGGAAATCCTGATCCTAGATAAAACAGATGGGGGTTTTTCCAGTTCTAGCCCCACATCTTGTTTTGGTGTGACATAGTGTCTTAAGTACTTTCCTCCAACTATAGAAGAGATATTTGTTAGTAGCAGTGCATTGTTCTGTGATCCAATATGAAATACTGGATCCAATATGAAATAATGGGAAATACTGGCTCCCATCCTTCACTGCACATAAGGCAATCATCTACCCACGCTTGGTGCCCTTGGTAATTGGGTTCATTCTGTCCTGCTCACTTCGTCAGCTTCAGCAAGCAGCCACTCTGAGATGCATCATTCCTAGTCATCTATATACTTTTGTACCTTGCCTCTCCATTTATTTCATATCTTTAAAGTTAGAATTTCCACACAGTCCTCTTAAGACCATTCGAAAGCCACCTTCTCCAAAACACCAACTCTTACCAGAGTGTGATTAACACATATGCAACACTTTTTGAGACATTTCCTATGAGGTGCTATTCTTTGCACTTAACAAATGTGAATTCCCTTTAATACTAAAGGTGGGTTCGACTACAGATAAGAAAAGTTAGGTACAGACAAGTTGAATGATTTTCTCAAAGCCTTAAACCTAGGTGACAGCCTGGGGGTTTACACAGGCATTTAGTTCTGGTCCATTCATTCTACCATGAGAAGCATCCACCACATCACATTAGCCAAAAATTGCCCGTGTTCCCCCAAAGAGCTTATTCTATGTTCTTCTGGCTCTTAACCACCAGTTATCAGATACTGGCACGTAAAAAGTCAGAGCATTTATGCACATATTGTTAGCTGCTTTATTGTATAAATGAGATTTTTTAAAGAAAATACTTATAATTAGAGAAATAAATAAAAGTTGGAAGAATTCAGAGACCAAGACCCTCAAGAGAGCACACAAAAGTTATTCTTAACTAAATCTTATGACAGAAGAACTTCAAATTTAAATACATCAAGAGACGGTGGCAGAAGCAACTTTTTCCATGGCGAAAATAAATTTTTTAAATGAGTTATGTTCTATAAACATATTTTCTAGAGATCTGACTTCTCTGTTGAAAAAAATCCTAAGTTAGAGGCATGGGAGATTTCTCAGTAAACTCTTTTTGAGAGTACAGATGCTGCTATCAAGATTCTTATTTTATAGCAAACCAGAATCAAATCATTTTTCCTTTTTTTTTTTTTTAAATTAGATCAGTAAGTGCTTCACATCTGAATGTAATACAAAAACATAAACTGGGACCTACTGCCAGGCCTTGCCATGTATGTCTGCTTCCTGGCTTGAGTTGGTTGGCTTCATTGGCCTCTGAAGCTGCCTGTCTCTTCTGCCAGCCACTCCTGCACAGAGCAGCAGCTCCATCCTCACAAGCACCTACCCTGGGCTAGTGCAGCAGTGCCTCCTGGTCACACTTGGGCATTATCCCATGGACGCACTGCCTCCACATTTGCCACCTGCCTCATTGGGTCCAGATCACAGTTGCTTGGTTCATCCTTCTATCACTATGTCTAAGCCACAAAGAGAAATCCACAATTCCAGAATTCTTAAAGGTAAAGAGGTACCACCTGCCCGTTGGCCATGACAGTTTTGGCAGTTGGGGAAAGGAATGTGCCTAAGGCCTGGTCCCCTTGGACCTGATCTCCTGAAACACATCCCTCTATTTAGCCACTGATTGCCCCATTTCAGTGTGTGGCACCCTCATGTGCAAGGCCACATCCACCTGTCTGGCCTGTAATGCCTTCTCATCTCATTCTGTGTTTTTATTTCTTTCAAACCTGGGGATTAGACATCGACGAGTGCAGGATCTCTCCTGACCTCTGTGGCAGTGGGGTCTGTGTCAATACACCTGGCAGCTTTGAGTGTGAGTGCTTCGAAGGCTACGAAAGTGGTTTCATGATGATGAAGAATTGCATGGGTAAGCATGGGCAGCCCTTCCTGGTCACCCCTAAAACCAGTTTAGCACAGGCTCATTGGCATCTCCTCTCAGAGGGGTGAACAGTATGCTTGTTGGGGTGCCATGGCAAGAGAGAGAAGAGGTTTGAAGTTTAAATGTCACACAGGAAATCTATTCCCACATAACTCTTGGGAGCCCCAACCTCAAGTGCCTTAATGAGACTGGATTCTGTTTATTATAGAATCAGCACAGAAACTATTGAGTTTAATGGATGACCTTATGATGTGACCCCAAGATTTGGGTTTTGTCAATGCTAATCCTGTGATATGTCCCTTATTTGTGTGCTGTTATGAACCTTTAGGGTATTTCCAAACTTTTAGGTCACTGTTTCAGTACCTTAGAGGATTCATCTCACAAAATGGAGTCAGTTACGAGTCTAAGATTTTTTTTCTTGTACATTTGATTAGAGATACATACGCCAGAATAACTGACATCAACGTGTCTTGGGCATATGGCAATATAAAGCAAATATCATCTATCATTACCTCTTGTAAATCTGCTTGTTTCATAGAAGTAAATTTCTCCAGAACTTACTATCATTAAAAGTAGATTTTTTGCAAATTTCTTACTGATAAAATGAGGAGAGCTTAACTCATCTCTGATTAAGCGTATCTCTTGCATTGGGAGTCACACGCTTACCCCAGATAATATTTTCTCCCATGCTGTATGTGTGTATGTTTTTTCCTCAGAGTTCTTTAATGGCTCTCACGTTTTTACCTTTCAGACATTGACGAATGTGAACGTAACCCTCTCCTTTGTAGGGGTGGCACCTGTGTGAACACTGAGGGCAGCTTTCAGTGTGACTGCCCACTGGGACACGAGCTATCACCATCACGCGAGGACTGTGTGGGTGAGTTGTCTCCTCAGCACATAATCCCGGGGGGGACAATGGGTAAAGATTAGGACTCACTTCCTACAACTGTTTTGCTCTGGGGCACATGAAATCTATCTTATTATAAGCTGGACATTTGGATTTCCTCCATCTGGATTCAGGCTGTGTTCACAGGGCACTTCTACCATATATTAATGAGCTGGTATTAATCTGGTTAGCCTCCTCTTCTTTGCAAGCACAATTACTGGTCCCTGTGTGAAGGACTCTGTGCAAGGCCATGTAGTCCCACCCTCCGGGCAGGATGAAGGGGTAAGCTGCTCAGGACTGCTCCCTGGTTGTCCACATGTGCACTGTGCATCCTGTGCCCAACATCTTGCTTATCCACTCAGACAGAGCCTTCCCTATACCCTGTGTCTGCTCACAACTCTACTCATATGTGATATGGTCTCTTCCCTGGCCTTGAGCTCAGTAGGGATGTCAGGGGGGCAGAAGGGCACTAAGGGCTGGTCTTTGAACATTCCATTGTTTTCATAAATGCAAAGACACCCTCAGAGTTCACTGTGTTCCATTGTGCTGGCTTTCAAACTTTGATGTGGCCATAAAATATTTTCTTCATGGGGACTCATTCTTGAAACTCAAAGCAAATAAATCAGATTAAATTACATACTCTATTTTAGAAATAATTTGAGCACACCTCTCCAATACACATGTATTTTCTTACAAGCCATATATATTGCTGTGCTAATATATGAGGTGAATCTTAAGCAATTAAAACAGACATTTTAAAAGGATGAATTAAAAACTTTTAAATTTTTTTTTTACTTTAAGAGTAGTATAAAACCTTTTCCACACTGGTAATTACAGAACATTTATTCATGGTTGGACATATTGTGATATAGTGATTCAGGAATCTGTTCCAAGTTCCATTTATTTTGTTACTTAATTTTCATGGATCTCATAGCTGAAAAAGTACCCCCTAAAGGTACAATGTATAATATAAAGTATATTTCTATACAACATAAAATACATATTTATTGATCATAAGCATAAGTCCATATTGCATACTCTTCTTGGTAATTTTGAGAAGCCAGAATGACTTTCCTGTTACATCTGATTACTGTCTGTTGTCATTGTTTTTAACTGATACTGTGTCCGACAAGTAGCTTGCAAAAAAGCAGTGGGTCACTGTACCATTTTCTTGCTGTTCTTTTGTGATTGCAATGTTAGTACTAATTTATTCCACATCTCTTTGCCTAAGTTTTTTAAGGCGCCTGCCCTTTTTATGAGGGTTACTTTATTTTAAAATAAACAATATAATCTGTCGATCTACATATCCAGACACATGATGATAACAAATAAACAAGTGTAGGTCTTACTGTCATGCCTCTGTTTTCTGGAACCAGCATCTTCCCTGAAGATAGTTTAAGCAGACAACATTTGACCAGCTAATGAAGACCAGGCAAGCATGTCACAGTAAATTCACAAATTAGATAGTACTAAGCTTCATTTCTGGCATGTGCTGTATTTGTGTGGTCTAATGGTAATTACTAATCACATATGGCTGTGTAATTTTCATGAAAATTAAATAACAGTAAAATTTCCATAGTTAACACTATCCCTGTTTTGAGGACTCAGTAGCACCTGTGGCTATATATTAGCCAGCATAGCTAGAGAACAGCTCCATAATTGTAGAAATTCTACTATATAGCTATATTGTAGTTAGAAATAAATAGATGTAGAGATTCCAGCATTTTCTTAAAACACCCTAGATATCTTACTTCCCCTGAAGTACACACACCCCTTTGGAGAACTTTGCTCCAGTGAATACCTTTCTTGGTGGTTTTAGTGGTTTGGCTTGTACATAAAGCATCAATTCTGTTTATCTTTTGTAGATATTAACGAGTGCTCCTTGAGTGACAATCTCTGTAGGAATGGAAAATGTGTGAACATGATTGGAACCTATCAGTGTTCTTGCAATCCTGGATACCAGGCCACGCCAGACCGCCAGGGCTGTACAGGTGAGGGGACCAAGCAGGTCTATAACTCATAGCTCTCATATCATCTAAAAAAATTTTGGCAGTCAATATCTGTGAAAGTCTATGGGATTTCTTTGTCCTAAAAATGAATCTAAGAATGGGGACAGAATTCCAGGGTGCCACAGTCTGTAGGTTTTCCAGGGAAGTCATTGGTCTTATTGTAGAAAATGCTCTGAATGCCATAGTTACTGTATTTCTGAGTTCTTTAATCTTCAAGTACTAAAGATCAATGGAATGCTATCTAAAAGGAAGTGAAAAAGAGCTAAGAAAGATTAATGGAAGACTAGTGCTAAGCCATTACAAATAGTAGGGAGAAAAATCTAAAGTTACTTATATCTGTTTAAAAAGGAGAAAAAATTTAAGGAAGTAGACCTGGCACAGAATATATTTGCAGTGTTGTTTTCACAGATATTGATGAGTGTATGATAATGAATGGCGGCTGTGACACCCAGTGCACCAATTCAGAAGGAAGCTACGAATGCAGCTGCAGTGAAGGTTATGCCCTGATGCCAGATGGGAGATCCTGTGCAGGTACAGAAAAGAAAACACACAGAAATAATTTGATCTTACAAATGTGGCATGAGAGATTGTAGAATAGAACTGAATGGAGAAAATATATTTGAGACTGGTGAAAGACATCTTGTTTATTTGGTTTTCTTTGATATTAACTTTGTGTCACCAGATATTGATGAATGTGAAAACAATCCTGATATCTGTGACGGTGGCCAATGTACCAACATTCCTGGAGAGTATCGCTGTCTCTGTTATGATGGCTTCATGGCTTCGATGGACATGAAAACATGCATTGGTGGGTGTCTTAAGCAGGGGACCAATCCTTACTCACACAGATGCACACCCAAATTCACACACACAAACATGAAAAGAGAAAGGGTTTTCCAGTTGTTCCTTTAAAAAGTAGAGCCATTTTACTAAAGCAGTAAGATCTGAAAAAGGAAAACTTATTGGAAAAAAATTCTTAAAGACAAATAGTATATTTTTCTGTAATACTGGTCTTGCAAGTGGATTATATTTTAATATTGAATAATGTGGATTTCAGTCTTCTGCTGTTCGGTTAAAAAATAGCTTTTAAATTACAATGATGAACACATGCTAACCAACATCTTGAAAATGAATTTTCTAGATGTGAATGAGTGTGACTTAAATTCGAACATCTGCATGTTCGGGGAATGTGAGAACACCAAGGGATCCTTCATTTGCCACTGCCAGCTGGGATATTCAGTGAAGAAAGGAACCACGGGATGCACAGGTAGGATTCAAGCTTTGTCCTCTAGGTTTCAGCTTGTTAGGTTCAAAGGTCAATCCAGCATCATCATTCCCTTGCCTCTTTTAGACCATTTCCCACAGCCAGGCTGTGACTGTGTGTGTAATGACTGACCTGAAGCCTATTTGATATATTTGGCTCATCTCTGTTGTACCCACTGCCTGACCACCCACCCCAGACCTGGCTGAGGGTCCAAACACAAAGGAAGGCAATAGGGCAGAATCTGCTGCTGCCAGGCTTCTGGTGGCTCTTGCAGTGGCATTTACTTTTGTAGCCTGACTGCTGCCCCAGCGAAGGCATAAAGAATTACCGAAAGACCTGGACAGATCTCAGTTGTCATGTGCTCTTGCAGTTGAAAAGATTAGTCTTAAGTTCTGTTTAGACACTTTCCCACTCTTCCTTACCCCCATTTTTCTTCCCTTCTTTATTCTTCACTTTTCATTGCTTTCGTCTTCTCTTCTCTTAGCTCAGTTGTCCTTTTCAGGTTTCTCTCTCTACTTTCTTTGTTCACTTTATCTCTTTTCTTTTCTTCAGTAATTGATTTTAACCCTTTGCATACAAGTAGGACCAGAAAGTGCCAAGGTCAAGGTTTGGGCTAGATGCTTCTCAATTCTCAGTATAGAGCCCTGTATGGTATTTTGCTCCAAGTAGGCAGTGAGGCTTAGGCTGCAAGCAAGCTTTAAGCTTTCCCTCCAGGAAACGGGCAGGTCATGAGAGTGGCTCTAATGATCATGTTGACTCACTAGCAGAGGTGAAAGGAAGCCAGCAGTGTGTGCATGTGTCATTTCAGAAGCTGGAACGTGGAATCAGTAAACTGGACAGAAAGGTGCTCACATTCTAGAAAGCTTTGCAGAACCAAATCTGCAAAATACACACACACAATCATGCATTGCTTTATAATTGGGGTACATTCTGAGAAATGTGTCATTGGGCAATAGACAATAGAGTATGAGGATACAAACTAAGATAACTTTGTTACCAGCTGCATCATTAGGCTATGTCATTTTATGGGACCACTGTCATCCATAGGGTCTGCCATTGACCAGGTTGTTGTTAGGTGGTATGTGGTCCTGTGTGTGACATACAATTGTATATATGTAATATATATATGCACATACACACAATACTGGTAAAAGCATCTGGCCATTCCCTAAGGAATATTAAATATTCTTAAATAAATATAAAAAACAAAAATACACACCTAAATGATAGCTTACAAAAACTCTGTAAGTAAAAATTACAGTTGATTTTTTTAAAAGATAAATCATTATATAACTTTAAAGAGAATGAATAACTACTTTCTCATTGAAAAGTCAGGCTTGTTTTTATCTTCATGAAAACATGTAGAAGGGAATAGCAGAGTCTGTTTTCCTCTTCACGCTTAGACTCTGATGTCCTCTCCATTTTGTTTTGTCTGGGCCTTTGCACTCACACCTGCAGAGACAACCCCTGCGTCAGCTCATTCCTACCAAGAAGGGTCTGATAATTTCTCCTAGGGAAGGGTTTGCTTGGTGTGAGCCATGATCCTCATATCTTATTGGAGTCTAAAAAGTTCAAAACAAAAGTGATGTTAATGTTTTCTCTGTGTTGCTCTGTATTTAACCTTTTACCTTTTTAAAAATATACTTGGAAGTAGAATTAATTAGCTTGTGTTTTATCTCTTTGATATTAACTCTGGTTTCTCAGATGTGGACGAGTGTGAAATTGGTGCCCACAACTGTGACATGCACGCCTCTTGTCTGAACATCCCAGGAAGCTTCAAGTGTAGCTGCAGAGAAGGCTGGGTGGGGAATGGCATCAAATGTATTGGTGAGTTTGCTGAGGAGCGGCATGCATTCCTGAAGGCTCTTCTCTTCTCTGCACAGTTGTTCTCCCACATGCTCTCCACTTTCCATTATCCTCTTGTAACTCAAAGGATGTCTTCTGCCTAAGAGTTTCTGTTAGCCTTAAAGGTCAAATTACAACAGGATACCTTGGCATCTGCTTTTTCATATATTGTGTTCAGTAAAAAAAAGTATTTCACATGCAACCAGTGATCCAAACAGCTGTATGATAGAAAATGACTAATGTTTTTCCACTCTTTTTATAGAGTAATCAGTGAGATTTAAAACCTAGTGACAGCCAGGCATAGTGGTCCACAACTATAGGGAAGCATAAGTAGGAGGATCAAGGTCTAAGGCCAGCCTTGCACAAAAATGTGAGAACCTATCCAAAAAATAAAGTAGAACAGAGGGAGGAGGCTGGGGTGTGGCTCAAGTGGTAAAATGCCTGCCCAGCAAGTGTAAGGCCCTGAGTCCAAACCCCAGTACCACCAAAACCAAAATAAAGTAAATAAAAATAAACACAACAAAGTGAAATAAATGGAGGAAATGGAAAGACTTTCTCACTATGGACTCAAGCCTATAGTTAGCAATTAATATCAGCTCACTGGAAAACAGAATTCTTCTTAGAGACAAATCTGAGTGTTGTTTTGGATTCCAAGAGGCCAGATTTGAAGAAGGGAGAGTGGGGAAGGATGTCTTCCCAGGTCCTCAAGCTGGAGTCTGATTATAAGTCTTCTACGCTGTGTGGCCAGGAATGGATTATACCCTTGGTGTCATTCACAGTGCTGTTTAATAATGCTCAGTGTTTTACACCCCTTGACAATAAAGCATTTTTCCAACTGGTAAGAATTATCCAGGTCAATTTAAAATAGAAAAGCCAGCTGAACTGACCTCCCTGTGATGATTTCTCACTAAAATCTGATAAGCCTGCAGTAAGGATTAAAAACAGCCTTACCATCTCTTACATACTATTAGTGTAAGTTAATTTGAGTATACTTTCCTATCCATCTGTTTTACACCTGTCACATGTTTACAAGCCACTATAGAATGGACATTATCACAGTTGCCAAATAACTTTGCTACGTAACATCCTATGATAGCTTCATTAATTTTATGAGCAACCTACTTCTAGTCTAGCCATCTCTGTAGCATTCATCTTAATAACTTTCCAGCCATGTCCTCATTCCCATTTCTCTGGTTCCTTATGTCTCCTGTTTTCTGTCTTTTAGCGTCCATTTTATCTGTTTCTTTTCCATCTGTCAGTCTGGCCAGCCATTCATTCCAAGACTGCCTGCCTCCAATATAAGAGATATTACAATGTCCAGGAATCTGTGCTCCCACTGTCATTCTAATCCATCCTGTCCCTTCCATCTTCATTCCCCTGCCTAGTCTAAACCAATCAGCAGTCTTGTTCTCTACCTCTATCTCCTCTATTTCTATCTATCTCTTGGTACTAAAAATGAACCCTTATGTGTTTGTTCATTCTCTCTCTGGTCCTCTTGCAACCTGTTCATCACATAGGAACAGAAGGAAACCTAAACCACAGATCTTTTCATAATTAGCATCTTAGGGCAAACCCCAGCTTTCTCTCCATAGCTTACAAGGCCTTACCATATGCCTCTGCTATCTTTGTCACTTCATCTTCCACCACCCTCTGTCTCCTGCCGCTCTGACCTCCTTTAATGTCTTGGTCACAGCAGGTGTTTCTCCTGTATGTCTGTATATGCTATTCTTTCTGCAAGAAATAGCTTTCCCCACTTCTGTTCAGTAAGCTAACTCTTCCTCATTCTTTGGGTTGGAAAATTGATTAAAAATTACCTTCTCACTAGGTCCTTCCTTATTCCTGCAGTCCAGATTCAGTGCCCTTTTTGTTCTATCATTGCCCCTTTGTAATTTCTTTTATGGTGCATATAAAAATATTTTTTCTGTACTTAACATCTGCCTTTTCCTCTTGACTATGGACTGCATGAAGTCAAGAATCATATCCCAGTTTCCTTACCTGTACAAAATCTTGAAAACTCTATGCCAGTTTTCCTGCTCTGAAATTCAGTAGTGTCTTTAAAATTGATCCTTTTTTCAGTGATAAGGGAACCAGCAATAAAATTCAGCCTCAGTAGACATCAGAATGAACTCTAACACTGGTTTTCTTTGTATTCTCAAAACACTTGAATTCATACATTTGGACCACATTTGTGGCATGGACGTTTTGGATTATGGGTCTGAGAGCTTAAGGAGTTGGTGCTGTGGATAAACTAAAAAGCACATTACATTTGGCAGGTTCACATTTAAATTAAGGCATGGCAGAAGCATCCTGGGTGTTTAAATGTTCCATTTTCATGTCTGATCTTTGTTGCTGTATTCCCTTGGCATTCAGATCTGGACGAATGTTCTAATGGAACCCACCAGTGCAGCATCAATGCTCAGTGTGTAAATACCCCAGGCTCATACCGGTGTGCCTGCTCTGAAGGTTTCACTGGAGATGGCTTTACCTGCTCAGGTGAGTGACAGCCTTGAGGTGTGTGCTGATGTGGCTGTCATGGAATACTATGTATACTTATTTGAAGAAAGCTGTAGTTAAAAAAGACTAAAATAACTGCCACTCTTTTTATGCTTGACCTGCAAGTGAATGTGCATCTTTCTCTTACATTGAACACAAAAGCCTGAGTTGATCTTCCAAAATATTAGTGGAAGTTTTAAGATAATGCCATTTATTACTGTCGTGTACTCCTTCATCCTGCTTCATAAGATAATGGTAAAAAAGGAGATTTTGTGTAGATGAGGCCACCTGGATTGAAATCTTGTCTGTGCTGCTTACTGCCAGGGCAATCAATAAATGGAAGATAAGGGGAAAGTATTCATCTTTTTAACATAGGATTATGATCTGTACAATCACTGCTATTTCATGCATTTATTGAAGTTTAAGTAGCTTATCAGGAAGTTTTGAAAGGATTAAGCAAAATGATACAAGTAGAGAACTTAAAACGTTTTCATAATATTAGCTGATATTTAGCTTCTATTTCTTCCACATACCTGAAGGATAAAACATTGTCTCATTATACACATATATAAGACTAGATCATCTTGCTGAACAAAAACAAATTGGTAATTTTCACTTGATAAGGTAAGAGCTTCTCAGTTGAATTTTAGTACACACTTTAATCATTTAAAAATACACTAAATTTTTCCTAATTAATATAAAAATGCAGACTCATCCTTTTCAGATGCCTCTTTCAGAAAAACATGCTCATTTAATTTTATCATTTTCTTTTAAGCCTTGTAAGCATCTTTCCTGGCCATTCTGCACACTGTGGTATCGAGGAAAGAGCATGACTTTGGTGTCAAACACATCTGTAGTCAGAGCAGGGCTCAGCCAACACAACTAGCTCAGCATGACTCTCACAGCTCCCTTGGCTGCTCTCAGCCTCAGGTTTTCCTCCTCTGAACCTCACACAAGACCAATGAACTCAATGAAAAATGCATGGCAGGCAACTGGCACACTGTGTGGCCCTCAATAAACACTGATTTCTGCCCTTTTTTGCTTTATAGGATTAAATAGATCATCTTTAAGGTCTATGAGTAATGCCTGTTTGCATAATTAAGATGGGAATAGTTTTATAAAATTGTAGTGTCTCTAATTTTCTTTAAAGTACTTGGACAAAGGAAGGCATAAATTTGCTTATAATGTTTTCAGATGAATAAGCATCTTCTAACGATTGATTCCAATGTTCTAGGTTATCTCTATGATGTTTTTATAATACTGTCACATCAAATTGGCATTAAAGAAAACTAAGACAAAAGTGAGAGACATCTGCATTAATCATGTCATGATTGATTGTTAGGGTGCAGGCTAAACACCTTGCTATGCTATCAGATTGTTTTCCCTTATTTAGGTGAATGTGATTCATTTGTTTCATGTTAGTGAGCACCACGTCAAGCTGGTAAAATTGATTTAGTTTAGGAGCAAGGAAAAAAATGTGTCATGAAACTTGGAACTTAATAGAGATGTAATTTACTTCTTCCACAGATGTTGATGAGTGTGCAGAAAACGTAAATCTCTGTGAAAACGGTCAGTGCCTGAATGTCCCGGGTGCATATCGCTGCGAGTGTGAGATGGGCTTCACTCCAGCCTCAGACAGCAGATCCTGCCAAGGTGGGTCACCAGCATTCCAACTCATTTTCAAGTTGGATCAACTACAGCAAATGAAACCACAAAAAGGGCTGGAACGGGCTCCACCTGGAAGCAGAATACACAGCACAGGCTACACATATAAAAGTCATTCATTTAAGCGTGGATTATTTTGTGGAATGAATAATGATGAAGACAGCTTTCATCTTCTTATGAAGTTTTCCTGGCCAAGAGCCAATAGTTGGAAGCTTGGCTTATTCTTTTTTTTTTTTAACCATTTTTTTCCCTTTTTATTATTAAATGAATGACATGTGGCAAAACTATTCAACTTATAAAATCTGATCTACTACCTACCCAAATCACCACTATTTATTATATTTATCACAATCTAAAGTAGCTCGTTTTTGGCATTTGCCTTCATGCATGAGTTTGCTGTCTGTATGTCTGGGGCTGGAAGCCTCATCAGGGGATTCATTAAGAATTTCACCTCTGCTGAAGAGTAATGTCTCCTTCTGAGTTATGACGTCAGCCCCCTTTCCTAGAATTGGGACTTTGTGTCTAGCGTGATATCTTTCCAAGAAAAAGAACTTGGACTTTTCCTTCAAATTAGACTCAATTCCCATTACATATGGTTTGGGCCTTAGAAGTGTTATGTTATAAGGAGTACAATATAAAGGAAAGAAAAAGAGTAAAAACAATCTATATGACGTAGAGCTTAAACAGAAAACTTATAAAAATACTGGAAACTCAGTGAAGTGTGATGGTATGTGCCCATAATCTCAGCACTCAGGAGGCAGAGGCAGGAGAATCACAAGTTCAAGGCCAGCCTAGTCTGCATAGTGGGACCCTGCCTCAAAACAAATAAAAACAAGGAAAAAATAAACTCGGGCTAATTGCTGGGCAAAGGTAACCAAATGAAAACAGATGACAGTCTTTTCTGTTCTAGTACCTAATCACATGAACAGGAATGGCAAATATTAGCATGTACATCACAGACTGTACAAGCTGGGGAGGCTCAAAGTAAAACCTAACTCTGCTCTAACAAGCAAAGTGGCTGTAAAGAAAAATGTGCACCTAAAACACCGTGAGGTTTTCATAAATATCCACCAATATGGATTGAATAAGAGGAAGGGGGCTGAAAAGTAGGCCCATTCGACACTGAGGGTATTCTTGCTTCTACGTTGACCTAGAGTGAGTAGAATCTAATCCATTTTATACAAGATAACTAGACTGTGCTTCATTTTTTTCCCCAGCCCTGACTTCTTCTAAGTTCTGAAGCCAATTAGTAGAAAATATGAGTCAATGTCAATAGGGAATTGCTTGATTTATCATCAACGTCAGCTTGGCAAGGACCTGGACAAGGAGCAAGCAAGCAGTAGCCAAACACTGAGGCCAGCATGAGTTCTTTATACCTAGACAGAATTTCCCTTCCATAAATTTGTTCCTTTAACTGTGGCATAAGCTCTTCCAAAACTTCTTCCCAGACCCTCCCGCCATGTGGCATTGAAGAGTTGCTGCTCACTGTATTCCCTCACTTGCTTGTTTTCTCAGGTCACTACTATGGGGAGAAATCCCTCCCATTGCCAGATCAACTGAGGATGGCACATGAGTAACTTACCCTCACATAGGCACTCTGCTCCACTGAACACCAGCATTTAAGATACCAAAATGGCGATTCTACCTGTTTCTTCTTATTTTTGTGTGTTCTGTCTTCCACAAGTCTCATTCATCCACAGTTTCTATTGAATTTAGGAATTTAATTCCTTGATGACTTCTCATCTCATTATAAATCTAAGCCCCTTTTTCTATAGGGCTGTACATACACATGTATGCCTTCATTTTCATGAATAAGGAACAATAACTTCACATTTGTTAACCTAAATCCTTATGAAAAAGTTCCATAGATTGAATTTCAGATGTCTTCTTTTGGGAGCGGGGGGGCTATTGGGAGTTGAACTTAGGCCTCCTGCTTGCTAGGCAGGTTCTCCACCACTTAAGCTATGACCCTCCCCCACCACCCCTTTTTATGTTGGTTATTTTGGAGATAAGTTCTCACTTTATGCTCCATCAGGCCTCAAATTGCAGTCCTTCCAGTCTAGGATTTACAGGTATTAGTCATTATGCCCAACCTGAATTTCAGATTTTAACAGGGATATTTTAATGAAACGTATGAGAATGTGCTAACACTGAACCATCTTATTATATGGTATTAGAAACAGAATTCTTTCTGTTTTTGTGATAACAGATCAGATTGCAAAGTAGAAAAGAAGCAGTTTAAAAGTTAAACTTAAATAGTTTTAATGATATCATTAATACTTTTAAATTATCATATATTTTTATATTTTAAGTTACCAATCATAAAACATCTACACTAATTTATTAGGATATTGGTTTTGTTTTTAATTTTATCTAACAATTTGACTCCTGTGTTATGTTCGTGGTTTTTAAAATTTTATTTTATTTTTGAATTAGCATACATAAATAATGTGAGGGGATTTCATTTGATAACTTCATACATGTGTACAATGTACTTTGAACAAGTTCATACCATCCATCATATTTATGTTTAACTTTTATATTTTTTATGCCTTAAGTCAGCACTTCTTAGTTTAAGTATATTACAACCCTAGACAGTTAAAATATAAGACACAGAGGTCTAAGAGTAAAGCTCAGTGGTAAAGCACATGCATAAGATACACAAAGCCCTGGGCTTGGTCCTCACTACCACAAAAAACATAGGATGCTTATGTAGCAAGAAAATGATAGTTCTTTTATAGCTTAGTTCCATGAATAAACATTAGCTGCTTTCCATTTATACTAGCCAAAGAAAAGGAAAAACTTTTACTGCTTATAAACATCCAGGGAGTTAGAAAACACCATTAGTTTTATACATTAAATGAAAATTTTTAAATGTTTTTATAAACAATAAATTTTTTAAATCTTCAGATATTGATGAATGCTCCTTCCAAAATATTTGTGTCTTTGGAACATGTAATAACTTGCCTGGGATGTTTCACTGTATCTGTGATGATGGTTACGAATTGGACAGAACAGGAGGGAACTGTACAGGTATGGCCACTTGAGGGTTTGATTGTGTTCTCTTACTTGAAATGAATACTCTGTGCGAAATGTAAAAAGCCCTCAAATTTCTGCTTAGTTATCTATGTACTGGACGATGCATTTTTCTCAAAAAGAACATTACATTCTGATACATTTGTTTTTTACTATGAAATTGATCCATTTTTATATAGCCAACTTAAATATCTGATGAAACTAATAAAGCAACTTTTGTGTAGCTATGTATATGTGCATATATTTTGATGTATATATGTATATATATAATTTCAGTTAAGCAAATTGTGACAGTTTTTTCTTCCTCAGAATTGTAACATTTATTTAATTGATATTTAACTGTGTTAAATGCCTTTTGGTATACCCGCAACAATTTTAAAAAAATGTCTTGATATAAATCCCACAGGCTTGATCTGTGGAAGCTGTTTTAGATACATAGAGAAATTTAAGTTCTTTTTTCATTGTGCTGACTCCATCCTAATGGTCTTCACTGACTTGAAAAAAATCCACCTAATTGTTTGGGCCAGAAATATGCGTTAAATGAAGTTGTTAACATGGGCATTTTAAATGCTTCTAGATATCGATGAGTGTGCAGATCCCATAAACTGTGTCAATGGGCTGTGTGTCAACACACCTGGTCGCTATGAGTGTAACTGCCCACCTGATTTTCAGCTGAACCCCACTGGCGTGGGTTGTGTTGGTAAGTTAAAACTATGTGAAATGAACAAACAGAATTGTATTGAGTTGAATATTACCAACTCTCTTGGTAATGAACTATAGTAAATGTTTGCTGCAGGTAATTTTAAAAGAAAATAATCCCTTTAAAAACTCTAGATTATTCCAAGTTTATGAATGACAGCTGAAAAGCAACTAGTTGCATTCAGAGGACCATTTTGGGTATACTATCTTCAAAATCAACAAAATATGGAACAGAAATGTGAGTTAGCTATGACTAAATTCTTACTAAAAGAATTCTCACTACAAGAACCTTTTCTTACAAAAAGGTTGTTGATATTTTACTTTCCTGTAAATTCTTTTTTTGAACTTCTTAAAAACATAAAGGGGTCCATTGGACGCAAACGTTAAATGACAATGCTACTTTTATCAAAGGCTAAATATGTGCAAACTATGAGCCAGCAGTTCTCACCTCATTTTATATGCCAAATATATTAATGCACATACCCATATACAGATGTGAATAAGATACTCAGTGTAGTGTTGCTTATGATGATACAGATTCAGAAACAGTGGTTGCAAAGTGAATACATTTTTTCAGAAGAGGCAGTGGGGGACCATGGAGTTCATAGACAGGATTTTTTTTTTTTGAGCTATCATAATTCATTTTTTTTTCTTTTATAGACAGGATTTTCTCAAAGCACATATAATAAGGAAAGGTTATAAAAATGAGGTGTATGAACAAAAACACCATTATTTAAAATTAAAAATGAACATATTAAAAGTATTTTCGCAAGAACACATATTAGAGCTAATAACATTAAGTGTGTTTGGAGGATCAAAGTAAAGTAAGAGGGATGGGAAGAGAGAGTAAGGACAAAAGAGAGAAAAAGGCAGAGAGGAAGGAAGGATGAATAAATTCAGATCTAATACAGGAAGGACCACGAGTTAACTCGCCTCTGCATTCAAGATTCAGCAACAAACACAAAATGAAAAAATGAGAAAAAGAAATAAAACAATAAGAAAGCCTAACTGATTCTTTTTTTTTTTATTAATATGTGCATATAAGGCTTGGGTCATTTCACCCCCCCTGCCCCCACCCCCTCAATACACAGCAGAAACTATTTTGCCCTTATTTCTAATTTTGTTGAAGAGAGAGTATAAGCAATAATAGGAAGGAACAAGGGTTTTTGCTGGTTGAGATAAGGATAGCTATACAGGGAGTTGACTCACATTGATTTCCTGTGCGTGGGTGTTACCTTCTAGGTTAATTCTTTTTCATCTACCCTTTTCTCTAGTTCCTGGTCCCCTTTTCCTATTGGCCTCAGTTGCTTTTAAGGTGTCTGCTTTAGTTTCTCTGAGTTAAGGGCAACAAATGCTAGCTAATTTTTTAGGTGCCTTACCTATCCTCACCTCTCCCTTGTGTGCTCTTGCTTTTATCATGTGCTCAAAGTCCAATCCCCTTGTTGTGTTTGCCCTTGATCTAATGTCCACATATGAGAGAGAACATACGATTTTTGGTCTTTTGGGCCAGGCTAACCTCACTCAGAATGATGTTGTCCAATTCCATCCATTTACCAGAGAATGATAACATTTTCGTTCTTCTTCATGGCTGCATAAAATTCCATTGTGTCTAGATACCACATTTTCTTAATCCATTCGTCAGTGGTGGGGCATCTTGGCTGTTTCCATAACTTGGCTATTGTGAATAGTGCCGCAATAAACATGGGTGTGCAGGTGCCTCTGAGTAACCTGTGTCACAGTCTTTTGGGTATATCCCCAAGAGTGGTATTGCTGGATCAAATGGTAGATCAATGTCTAGCTTTTTAAGTAGCCTCCAAATTTTTTTCCAGATTGGTTGTACTAGTTTACATTCCCACCAACAGTGTAAGAGGGTTCCTTTGTCCCCACTATTCTAACAGGGGTCAGGTGGAATCTTAGCATGATTTTAATTTGCATTTCCTTTATTGCTACAGATGGTGAGCATTTTTTCATGTGTTTTTTGGCCATTTGAATTTCTTCTTTTGAGAAAGTTCTGTTTAGTTCACTTGCCCATTTCTTTATTGGTTCATTAGTTTTGGGAGAATTTAGTTTTTTAAGTTCCCTGTATATTCTGGTTATCAGTCCTTTGTCTGATGTTTCTCTTCATAGACCATTTCTTTTGATGGCAAATATTTTCTCCCACTCTGTGGGTGTTCTCTTCAGTTTAGAGACCATTTCTTTGCGATGAACAGAAGCTTTTAGCTTATGAGGTCCCATTTACTATGCTATCTCTTAGTTGCTGTGCTGCTGGGGTTTCATTGAGAAGTTCTTACCTATACCTACAACTCCAGAGTATTTCTACTCTTTCCTGTATCAACTTTAGAGTTTGTGTCTGATATTAAGATCCTTGATCCATTTTGAGTTAATCTTGGTATAGGTGATATACATGGATCTAGTTTCAGTTTTTTGCAGACTGCTAACCAGTTTTTCCCAGCAGTTTTTGTTGAAGAGGCTGCTATTTCTCCATCGTATATTTTTAGCCTTTGTCAAAAGACAAGTTGTTTATAGTTGTGTGGCTTCATATCTGGTCCTCTATTCTGTTCCACTGGTCTTCATGTCTGTTTTTGTGCCAGTACCATGCTTTTTTATGTTACTGCTTTGTAATATAGTTTGAAGTCAGGTATTGTGATACCTCCTGCATTGTTCTTTTGACTGAGTATTGCCTTGGCTATTCGTGGCTCTTGTGTTTCCATATAAATTTCAACAGTAGATTTTCAATCTCTTTAATGAATGTCATTGGAATTTTTGATGGGAATTGCATTAACATGTAGATTACTTTGGAGTATCGACATTTTTACTATGTTGATTCTACCAATCCATGAGCATGGAGATCTCCACTTTCTATAGTCTCCTCAATCTTCTTTCTTCAGAAGTGTAGTAGTTTCCTTTAAGCGTCTTTCACATCTTTTGTTAGGTTTACACCTAGGTATTTGATTTTTTTTGAGGCTATTGTAAATGGAATTATTATTCATGTATTTTTTCAGTTTGTTCATTATTAGTGTATAGAAATGCTAATGATTTTTCTATGTTGATTTTATATCCTGCTACCTTGCTTACTATTGATGATGTCTAGAAGCTTCTGAGTAGAGTTTTTTGTGGTATTACCAGGTATGATCATGTCTGTTGGCCAAATAGGGATTATTTTGACAGTTTCTTTACCTATTTGTATTCCTTTTATCCTTCTTCTTGCCTAATTGCTCTGGCTAGGAATTCCAGTACTAGGTTGAATAGGAGTGGGATAGTGGGCATCCTTGTCTGGTTCCTGATTTAGAGGAATGGTTTCAGTTTTTCTCCATTGAGTTATAAATGCTGCCTGTAAGTTGTCATATATAGCTTTTCATAATGTTGAGGTACTTTCCTTCTAGTCCTAGTTTTCCTTAGAGCTTTTTATCATGAAAATGGTGTTTGATCTTATCAAAGGCTTTTTCTGCATCTATTGAGATGACAAGTGCAGGTTTTTGTCTTTGTTCTTTCTAATGTGGTTTATTACGTTTATCAATATTTCGTATGTTGAACCACCCCCCATCCCTGGGACGAAGGCCTTACTTGGTCGTGGTGGATATCTTTTTGTGTGGCTTGAATTTGGTTTCCAATTATTTGTTCGAGGATTTGCATCAATGTTCATTAAGGAGAATTGGCTATGTTCTCCTTTTTGGAGGTGGCTTGCCTGGCTTTGGGATAAGTGTAAATACTGGGCTTCATAAAATGGTTGGCAGTTTTCCTTCCTTTCTATTTCGCGAACAGTGTAAAAAGGAAGGTGGTATCAGTCTTCTTAAAG